TCATTTTTTCTAAGGTTGTGAACCTCCCTTCCATGGCGAGAAACGCTTCTCTATTCCAGATCTGACTGACCTCTTCTATTAGTTTTTCCTCCAAAACATCCGCTTTTTTGGCTATCATTACTCCTTGACAGTTTTGAAAGTCCTAGACGTTGAAATAATGGGATTTGGAATTTCCGAGCGCGGGTTTCAGCATGCACAGAACCCTGGACGTTGCGATTTAGAAATTCTTGTATGCAGTTCGATGGAACTGTTGGAAGGCGTCGAAACTCCAAAAGCCACAATCTAAATTCCTATACGTTGGAGATCTTGATCACGAGTTTCCATCACAAGCAATGCGGAACTCCTTTAAGTCGCAATCCCAATCGCTGGTTTCAATCAAGAGTGGTGCAGACCCCTGTACACCGCGATCCTTCAACATTCATGTAGTATGTACTCCGGAAGGGCATAAGTCGAGATCTGCCCTTGACTTCCTAGATTGCCTGAATTGTTACGGTATTACGACTGAGGCACACTAGATCTAGAGCTTACTTCTTTGTTCTCGCCTGGATCCCCGTGTGGCCTTCCTAAACTAGCTCTAATTGAGAATGTGTTGCAAGGATGGAGTATAAACAAAAAAAAAAAGAGTTATGGAGCCTCTGTAGGTCGCAATCCCATCGAAGCCTTTCCAACTAGCTCTAACGGTGATTGTAAGCGAAAACAGAGCAGAAAAAGAAAAATATAGTATCAGCCTCTGTAGGTCGCAATCCCATCCCCAACACACTCAAATCGAGACTATATCGCTAGGGTGTCTGCAAACTTATGTACAACGCGATCCAGTTGTTGCTTCCCTGTGAGCTCTAATTGTAACTATATCACGATTGTCGACATCCAAGGGAGCTCTAATAATGATTGTATCGCACACCGCAATCGCGTCATTCTTTCCCTATTCCCTATTAGCAACGCGATCCCATCATCTTCCCCGCTAGCCCGATCAATACTCTGTGAGACAATTTCCCTTCTTTTCCCAGATCGACGCTCTGATGTTAATTAATGGGATTCACCATAAAATTTAGGGCAAAAAAATATTTAATTTCTCCAAAGCAAACAATACAACTATGAACACACAAATTAAAAGATAAACATCTACAATTCGAGAGGTGGGCGATCTCTCCCACTTCCTACCATTCAAGAGGTAAGAAATCTCTCTCAAATCATCTAATGCATAACCCTAACCCTAAACATATTAGCGCAATTTATACTAAACCAATAATAAATGACAAAAAACTAAATTGCACGTAGGTTAATATAAAACAAATTTGCCCTTAGGTGTCGATCTAACAAAAACTAAGATGATCTAGGCATTAATTCACCCGATGAATTGTATAAGGAATCATTAACAGCCATCCTTTTATAAAGGATGCCTCTCTCAATATAATTAAAAGCATTATATACATAAATTTTAGCACAAATTTTTTTTTGGATCAATTATAATCATGGATTTTTAACATCAAAATCTTAAGGCTTTTTAGGATCAATTTTTATTTTTGTTTTTGTTTTTATTTTTCCTTTTATTTTTAAAAATATGTTTGTTTGGTGTGTTTTTTACTTTTCTACATGTTTTAATTTTTTGTTAAAACAAAATTAAAATGTTTTTTAAAGCACTTAAAATAACTTTTATATGTTTTCATTATTTTCAAAAATAATGTCATTTATTTTTGTTTACCAAACATATTTTAATTCAAATCAAAACAAACATTTAAAAAAAAAAAACAAAAACTAAAAAGTGCCATTTGGGGTCACTTTTGTTTTTTTTTTCTTTTTTTTTTTTGTTTTAATGTTGTTTTTTATGTTTTGCTATGAACATAATATGTTTGGTTATTTGATTGAAATATGCTTGTTCTTAAGAACACTCAAAGCACCTAAAAAGTTGTTTCGGAGTTTTCAAAAACATGTTAATTTATTTTAAAAAATAAAAAATAAAAACATGTAAAAAAACACACTAAGCAAATATGTTTTTAAAAAGAAATAAATAAATAAAAATAAAAATAAAAAAATTGCCCCCAAACAAGCCCTTATATTGTCATCTTGTTAGGAAGTCATTTGACATTAGCACTTGAGAGTTCAAAAAGTGCCTTGCTCGTGGAGATGTCTAGGAATAGAAGAGTGCTTCTTGTCCTCAATAATCACGTCGCTCCTAACTCGAGAAATATTTAGAGTAGGGTTGATGAGATCATGCTTGATATTAATTTCTACAATTTCTTCAAGGATTCTAGAAGAAATGTTTAAACCTAAGCCTTAAGTTTATTTTTGAACGTTTTTAAGCTTTTTGATGAGGAAGAAGTAAGAGTCTTGATCCAGAGAGATCATTAATACCAAAAAGAAAAGAGCTTAATGTTTATCCAACTCCAAAGAAAATAGGCTTCCTACCAAAATTTTCATTAAGAAAAAAAAATCAACGAGGATGGTCCAAAGAATGCATGTGTGATTTGTAATGGAAGAGTCCTTCTGGATGAATGCCCAAATCTTATCTTGATCTGATTTGCCATTGAAAGCACAAACTTCATGGAGTGCCTCACAATGGTGCTTTCGAAAGTGAAAGATGCAAAAATAAAAAAAAGTAAAGAGGCATGGAAAACAAATTTAATGGCTTGAATAATGCCAGTGAGAAAGGGAAGATAATGGACTACTTTAGACTTGAGCTCTACTTCGGGCACTTTTGGTTTTTTTTTCAAAATCTTGTTAGATTTACAATTACATTAATCAATCATTTTTTTCTTGGCATTTTACAATGAAAAAATGCAGCATAGCTACGAAAAAAATGGGTTTTTGGATAAGCTTTTGCAGCAGCAATTTTTTGTAAGCTTTGCTATTATAGAACAATCAAGCAAAGAAAAGAAAATTCATTAAAATAAATAAATTTCGGTTTTAAAAGGCTAATGCATTTTCTTTTGTACAATTAAATATTTATGTGGAACACTCCCTTATCAATAAGAGACTCTATTGTGAAGATGGCTATGGTGAGTTTATAGTAGGTAAAGAGGTCGGTCAACTTCTTGATTTTTCTTCAAATTTTTAAGAATTGTCAATTAGCGAATTAAGGTAATCTTAATCTTATGGAAAGGAAACCTACAAATCTAGGGATTACCAAATTATGTTAAGCATAGATTTTACCCAATTTGTGAGGTTTTCCCATTACAAACCACAAAATGCTTGAAGTTGTCTCCTCAAATTGATGGGAAGTTTGGGCGGGCGGTTGAAGAAACTCCCTTAAATGTTTATGTAGAACAACTTCCTTAGGAGGTTGTAGGAAAGATCAACAAGTTTGAGAACTCTTCGATTTTTCCTAAATGAAGGTGAAAGATCCTTTTATCTGCTACAAAAATAGAGTGTGGCGGGTGTGAAGCTTGTGTGGTGAAAAAAATGACTCACTTTCATAGGATGGATATCCTTAGCAATAAGGATGAAGTTTATGTCCAAAAGTAGACGTTTCTGTAACTCCCAAACTTGAATTTGAGAAATTTCGCATAATCTGCATATTTGCATTATGATTGGCCAGCTAATATAGTTGAAATTAAACCTCCTCATTTTTATTTTGAAATCTATCTCGAACGCAGAAAAATGTCATATGAGGAGCTTGTAATTAGTTGTGTAACTTCTCATTTAATTTTGCAATTTTGTAACAGCAACCCACTTTAAAGAACACCTAAATGATATGTAAACTCTATTATTTCAAATTGAGATGGCCAAACGGAAACAATATGTAGCCACCTAAAGAAATAATCAGTCTGCACTAAATATTAAAGCATGAATAAATAAAGTACATTATAGCTTCAAGGTTACAAGATAGTTTAGTGATAATTTTAACTTTTATTTTCTATGACGAAACTGACCTCCTTTGAACCACAAGTAAATGTTCTGCATAATTATAGTCTAAAAGCAAGAAGGAGAATGTTTATTTAACCTAGGCAGTGGATGAACTAGGAACTCAGGGGAAATATTAAGGGACTTGGAGTTCCATTTTGGAAATAAAGTCCCCCTATGGGGGTGAAAATAGTGAACATATAAATAAAGCATTACAAAAAGCACTCAGGGTAATATTAAGGGACTTAGTTCCATTTTGGAAATAATGCCCCCCTATGGGGTTTGAAATTTGTGAATATATAAAGAAAGCATTAACGATTATAAGAATTTCTCGATGTCAAATAAAGAGGTCAGATTTGCTCTTTCTCATCTTGGAACAACTCTTCCCAACCTCACAAATAAAAGGATCAGCGGCAATGGCATTTATGTTAGATGTGAAGTTAGGGCATAACTAAGAAGAGTGCGGAAGGATTCATAGGTTGAACGAGAGGAAGTTTTCCAGTCATAAATAACTATGGTTTCAAACCGCCCTATCATTCATTCCCATCTTAAAAATTTCAAGCTCTCGCGTCGGGTTGTGTTGAGTAATTAGAGTAAAGAAAACACAAGAATAGACACAAATCAAAAAGAACACAGATTTAACGAGGTTCGGCAATGTGCCTCATCCTCGGGAGCAGAGTGGCGGTTTCTATTCTAGAAGTAGAAGTATGGTTCCCATAAGGTTACAAATATTATATATAAATACAACCCTTAATGAAATTACAAAAAATACCCCTATACCGTACCTGGGAGGAGTTGCCCCCGCACCCCCAACCCACTTAACGAAACTTCTGTTTGCTGAGTATATAAATATTATATATACCAATATTATATATATATACAACCCCCGCCCCCGCTACGCTCGCTCGCTCGTTTCATTCCACTCCAGCATATGTCCCTTATCCGGTATATGAGTCATATCTAACAAGTTGTGACAAGCTATTCATGTTCTGTAGGAGAAGTTGCTACGGTTAAACGTAGAAATAGTTCTACTAAGAATAATAGCATGCATTTCACTTAAAAGTAAATGGAACTAGGTAAAAGAAAACAAATGTAAAATGCATGTTTTTTTATTAAAATTAATTAGTTAGACAAAGGTGGTGGAAAAATTTATACCAATTTGCACTTCTTCATAACAAAAATTATGGCTTTTAAGTCAGAAATCTTACCTTTCGAGACCAAAGTGCACTAAACAAGAGGAAGAATCCTCGCGTTTACAAAATTTGCAGCCCTTAGCAATTCGGCATGGCAAATGGACTGCATCAGCTAAAATCTACAAAAGTCAGTGATACAAAAACTAAATTCAGTCATAGAATTAACAAAATAAATCAATTTAAGGCTCATTTGGCATTGAAAAATGATGAATTTCCCAGATTCTATCATTTCGTTTGATATAATCAATAATATTGGTTTTAAATGCTACAATACCTTCAAAATATCTCAAAAGAAATAACTTTCTTTTTACAGTAAAAATAAGTTATTTAGAGCATAGTTTCTACCTACAAGTAACCAAATGGGCCCTAAATAGCATTCAAGTGTAAACTGCCAATTTTGTCAATGAAGAAATAAATCTGATAAGCTCGAAGAAATTAATATTTTAAATAGTAAAATAAGCATACAATGTATAGAAAATAAATTAAAATTTACTTTAAACAGCAAGGCACGATGCCTGCAAAGACCAACGGATAGTGTCCCAACTGGGATAACAACAGAACGCGAGAAGTCCTTGAGATCCTTACTGCTCTCTTTCCATCGAGGGAGCAGATCATGTTCTTCATCCATAGCTGCACCCCTTGTGAGTACAAATAAATTTTAGTAACGGAAAAATAAAAAAGACACATAAATTTATCAATATTACGAACCCACCCCATTTGCACGCAGACAAGCTTTGCAATCTGTTCTACAATCTCTTTTGTAGTAGCAAAGCTGGAAGAAATTCCAGCAGCCAAATTATGTAATTGCCTCAATTCAGGGTCACTGTATCTATCCACAATAATTACATTAATTGATGATTCATTTGGCTGAATAAACTTGAAAGATTCTAGTGTTGGAATCCGACTTCCTTCGTGCACATCAGTGCACAGAGTCCAGACGAAAGGATCCATCCCCTGAATCATGTAGAAGCCATCTGGAACTTTATCATTGTAAGATAGAGAACCATTAACCTGGAATGGATGAAAAAGGTACATGAGATTATAAATTTGTTAATTTATTCAGAATCTTATGTTCCAAAAAACGCGGGGACAAGCACATACATACCACCCAATTCGTATGTATTTACATATATAACACCCAAACTTCACTTTCTACATCAATACAACCTAAATCTTTCATATGAAATAAAAATACCACCTTTTTAGCTTTTAAAAAGTGAAATATACATTTTTCATGCATAGGTAAATTGACATCTATGTAGAAATTGAAGTTTAGGTGTAAGATATGTAAATACATAGGCATTAAGTGGTATGTATGCAAATCTTCCATAAAAATAAAAATCTATCATAGGTACATCCAAACAAAGTAATAGGATGTCTTTTAAATAAAACTTCAGTTTTCAAAGATAGATGCGTGATCTTTAACTCAAAACCCCTCCCTGTCCTTTTTTTTTTTTTTTTTTTTTTTTGAAAAGAAATAGAGAGATATGAGTACTATTATGTTTAGTTGGCTTTGTTTCATAGACAGCAAACTTTCTTGGAAATAAACCATTATTGCCCTTCTTGCAACCTCAATTGATGCCACATTGGTCCATCATATCAAAACCATATATAAGAAAAAGACGAGCAACATAAAGTGCCACTGCAATAACATTGCAGAAAAGAGAAGGATTAATATTTTATTGGGGCATAAACATACACACCACCCAATTCCTATATTTACATTTATACCACCCACACCTATCAAACCATATAAAAAATATCATTATTTTAACTTATTTAAAAAGTGAAATGCACTTATTCATACATAGATCAAGTGTTATGTATGTAAAAATTCAGGTTTAAGTGTTAGAAATGTAAATACATAGGAATTGAGTGGTATGTATGTAATTCTTCCTATTTTATTTTCTAGATCCATGCTTGTGTAGAGCACATGCAATAATCCAGTGTATGTGATCGTTGACCACCAGGGAGACTTACTTTTGTTGACTTCCACTAGTGCTACTGGAGTTAACCCAAACCACACCGGAAAAAATAAATAACATTACTAAAAACAAATATATGGATACAACCAAATATTTGAAAGGGAAAATGCAATAACAGGACACAAGCAAACACCAATAAAGAATATTCCAATGGTGGGGGAGGTCAGCTAAGTGGATTAAAATGTCTAGTGGGGGTAGCGTTAGAAAAGGAATGACGTTGGAAGCGAAGAGGAGGTGGCAAAATGCAGGGACAGTAAATATGGTGGCTGTCATGGGTGATGGCAGCGAGGCGTTGGGGTGGATAGCGTCGGGACAGCAGGAAGAAGGTGTCCCTAGCTGTCCTGGGTAGCAACAGCACTGTGAGAGCTGGGACAACAAGGGTTTGGGTGGCAGCCTTGTCGGAAGGGAGGGAGAGGCGGCTGAGAGGTTGGAGGCTGCAGACAACAGCAATCGGAATGTCGTTGCGGGCGGATGCAGCGAGATACGGCGATCGGGAGAGATGTGGGAGGATGCATAAGGGCTAGGAGGAAGATAATCATTACCTTAAGGTAGAGATGCAGCCATAGCACCCCCTAATCCCTCGTCTATAGCCATCGAAGGAAAAAAAGGGATACCGGCGCCTATCCTAACAGAAATCTGAAATTTGGAAAACCAAAAACTGGCCCTAACCAAAGCAACAACACCTATATATGATGAGGAATAGTATATATAATAGGTAGGGAATAGAACTAGAAAGGTAATAGAAAAGAAAGGAGGTAGACAAGGAAATTGCTAAAAAGGAAGGGCTAAACAAGGCAATGAATCAAATAAGAAAAATTGACCGAGAGACTGTACAACTACAGTACCACATCCCAGTTAGCTCCCGCGTTAATCTCCCTAGGTTGGGGGAGTTTTGACTTCATTCACCAAAGCTTGTGGCTTCTCATCTGTAATCCTAGCAGCATATGGATCCCACTGATGAGTGCACTGTCCTCCGAGCACCTGAGGATCGGTCCCAACTTATGAATCCACATTGGTCTAAACTTCTGGGAGTCTACTACAAAACTGAGCTGAGTCTGCTTTTCTCGCCTCTCCTATTGAATACTCCCAAGGTCACCCATGGTCGGCTTAACCAGATCCGAAGTGGGGGTAACCTGAAACACCCCGAACGGTGGTGGCGCTGGTAGTAAAGTATTGACGCTGATATCCTAAAATCCCCTATGTCGTGCTTGTCCCCTGTCTAGAGTTGGGATCTCAGTCTTATCAACTGTTGTCATCACCAAAACTGGTCCCACCAATGCTGCTCTACTAATAAGGGAGCTTGTGATCTCGTGCTCCGCCTAAGGAAGATGGACTATGTGCTTCCCATCCTTAGTGAAAGAATATGTGTTTCTGAATCCGTCATTTTGAGTCCTTTGTTCAAATTTTCACGGTCTCTCAAACAAAAGGTGGCAGACATCCATAAGGACCACGTCGCACCACACCTGATCCTGCAACTGGCTCCCAATCGAAAACTCCATGAGGCACCTCTTGTCAATGATGACCACATTTTCCTTCTTCAGTCACATCAGATAATATAGTTGGGAGTGTCTCTAAGTCATGAGACCCAATTTCTCTACCTTTTGCGTAGATGTAACATTCATATCACTCCCTCCATCAATGATGAGACTGCATACCTTATCGTTCACAGTGCAACAGATGTATAATATATTCTGACAAAGCCACTGCAAATCCCTTGTATCATTAGGTTGTAGGAACTGTCGAATCGCGAGTATCTATCCTTCATCTGGTGGCAGATGATACACCTCGCTCGTTTCTCAGCTTTCTCCTCATCACTAATCTCCTCCACGGCGCCCTGCTCAATAAAAGACACGACTCGGCTAGTCAGGCAACTGGAGTTAATATGCCCAAATCTGTAGCATCTAAAGCATTTTCTAACAGGGACTATAGTAGGTGTGCTATTCTTCTCAAATTTCTTCTTAATGGGGGTAGTTTAATCCTTATCTGAACCAGTTTTCTTGACTGCCAAAGGCGTGCTCCTATTGGTGTCTTCAACTGTGGGTGGTTGATTGACTGATGGTAGTGGTCAACTCTGTTTCTGATATCTCTCCACTTACAATGCTAAGATCTGGACGTTTCCAAGTGACCAGTAAAGCCACAGTTGTACCACATTGTTAATAGTGGGCTTCAGACCCCCAAGGTATCGGACTACAGTATGCTTCTCCAGCTCGTTCAGCTCGCACTTCATCTGTAAATGATCGAACTAAGCTGTGAACTACTCCACTAAAAGGTCTCGCTATTACAGGTAGTGAAGCCTTAGAAATGGTCTTAGCCATAATGAGGTGGAAGGTATTGCTTCTGCATTGATTTCTTTATCTTCTCCCACTTGGTAACTTTGTTGTTGCCTTCTCTTTTCCTCTGTCCATGTAAGTTCTCCCACCATAAATAGACACTCTTTTTCAACTTGATAGTAACTAATTTTACCCTCTTAACCTCTAACACGTCTTTATTTTTGAAGATTCGTTCAACAAATTGTATTTAATCAATAAACTCATATGGATCCAGATCTTCTCAAACTCTGATGGATCTACATTGATTATGTAGTCTCTGTGTCCAATTGATATCTCCTCTCTAGATCTCCTCTGATATTGGATTTTGAAATATCGTGGCTTTTCATTTTCATCACTGAAATATTCTCTAAGGAATGGATTGAAATTTTTGTCCATTTCTCCTCTTCAACTTTTCCTATCACCACCGAGAGTAAGTCCCTCCTAGGCATCATCCCCAATGTTCGTCAATCTCTACTGAAGTCGGCAGAACTTTCATTGTATCTCTTCCCTAGTAGACCCAGACATATATCTCGTCGATGGCATGGCTAGAGCTTGGAGTGGTAGGTGAAAGAGGGTAAAAAAATGATTTAGGATTTTTTATTTTGAAATCCAGCAAGGGGAAATTAGGGCCAGATCAAAAATTTGGCTATAATTTGAGGATAGGAAAAAAATTTTTGGTGGGGTAAGACAGATGCTAGAAAACCACAGGATAAAACTAAGGTTAGGCTATCTCTGAAACCAAATTATACCTGAGTTAACCAAAACCACACTAGGAAAAACAAATAATATTACAAAAAATAAATAAATAGTTACAACCAACACACTTAAAAAGGGAAATATAATAAACAGAAGCAAACACTACTTAAGTGTATCCCAAGGGTGGTGGAAGTAGGCTAGGTGGATCGGAATAACCGGCGGGGGTGGCGGCAACAAAAGAATGTTGGTGGTTGCGACGGGGAGGGGCGAAAATGCAGGGACAGCAAGTATGGTGGTTGTTTTAGGTGATGGCAGCAAGGAGTTGGAGTGGATATTGGCACAGTAGCAGGAAGGAGGTGTTCCCTAACTATCATGGGCGGCAGTGGTACGGTGAGAGTGTTGGGACAAGAGGAGCAAGGGGTGGTTTAAACGGTAGCAACGCCAAGAGGGGGAGGCAGCTGGGGGTTGGATGCTACAGAAAATAACAATCAGAATGTCGTTGCAAGCGGCTGCAGTGAGATAAAATGATCGGGAGAGAAGTGGAAGGATGTGGAAGGGGTGAGAGGAAGATAATCACCACCCAAGGAGAAAGATACAACCGGAGCCCCACCCAATCCCTCGGATACAGTCCTCAAAAGAGAGAACGTAAGCCGGTTGTTGCCCTGACAGAAATCTGAAATCCAAATACATAATGAGGAATAGTAGTCAGAATAGACAGAGAATAGAAATAGAAATGTGATGGTAAATTAATGAGGTAGACAAGGAAAGTACTAGCAAAAGAAGGGCTAGACAAGACAAAAAATCAAATATGAAAAAAGGGAATGCAGTACTGTAGCTACTGTAGCAGCTACAATACCGCGTCCCAGTTAGCTCCCGTGTCAACAAGGCTTCCGGATGAATAAAACAATGAATATAGCGTAGACTTCAAATAAACTGAAGCAATTCATTAGACCTCATAATTCATTCATTCTTTGTCATTCTTCTTGCAATTTCTATCAACTTGAACAAAATATTGCATGGGCATATATCTAACCACAAATTAAATTAGCAATGAAGACTCGTCAAGGGGTTCATTTATAATCCCATAACCAATATAACCAATCCTTATTAACAAAATAATCAATATGGAAAATCTTGATTACCCGCCAAATTAACTCGGATCAAATCATGGTAAACCACATTGCTTTCTCATCTCAATAAATATTACATGATCCAATGGCTCTCAGTTATGTATTTACACAATAAAACCCTAAGTGTTTAAAAATCTATTTGAGTTCATAGCTCGTTCAACTATCCTCCTCCACAATCTTATCTTGTTCTATCTTCTTCCTCCTCATAGCCATCATTTTCTCTTTCTTCTTGCTCCTTTGAGAACTCCTACCAACACTTTCTTTTGCAATTCACAAACTCTTGCGTAAATATCTCCCACATTCCCTCCTTTTGGCCCTATTACTCAACAGGAAAACCAAAAACTGCACACAAAGTAGGGGCACTTACATACATACCACCCAATTCCTATGTATTTACATATAACACGCATAAATTATTTTTTACATTTATATCAGCCGAATCATTCATATTACATTAAAAATACAACCATTTTAACTTCTAAAAAGTGAAATACACCTTTTCCTTAAATATGAATTTGCATTAATATAAAAAAAGGGTACAAAAACTATGCATGTGCTCATCTATTATGTACAAGAAAGAGACCTATCATCTACAAGTATAGAAAAAAGCTTTATATCATCATCTAGATGCATCAAAACAAAAGTGACTCTAAAGGCATACTTGGCACAAAATAAGCCACCCTATTACATTCACGAGGCATATGGAAAAACGAAACTTGTTTAAAATTCAAAAGAAAAGCAATATATAGGGCATCATTTGGTCGTTGTTGCCAACTCTCCCTTCGCATCGAAGATCGCATCAACTACATGATATTCATAGTTTCGCCTTCGACAATAATCCCCTTACATTCAAACATCCAAGGCTGAAAGAGGTGGTGAAGGCCGCAAAATGCTTGGAACTCCACTTGGGCGTTGTCCCAATGCTTGAAACTTTGTTGTGTAGCAATAATCCCCATAACTTGCTCATTATTGATGATTGGTCCAATTTTAGCGAGCCCAAGGGGTAAGAGAGCCCCATCCATGTTAAGTTTAAGCCACCCGGGAGGGGGGTGCCAGAAGAAGTACACAACCGAACTCAGAGGTCGGTTAGCACCCCATTGCTCCCAAAATGGATAAAGTTGCGTATTTGTGAGGGCCTCCAAGATAATGGAAGAAAGGATTGTCGAGAAATACAACTTTTCATGCATTGGTAAGGTGTATGTATGTTAAAATTGAAGTTTAGGTAATAGATAGGAATTGAGTGGTATGCATGAAAATCTTTCAACAAACTATTGTTGATGAACTGAAAGTGGCTTACCTGCAAGTTGTCACTTACCAACACCATTTCTTCCTCCCTTCTTCAGGTATGAAAGATTGGAGAACAACAAGGTTCAGGTAAGATATTTAGTTGATCTTAGATCCAAAACGAGCCAAACTATCCAGATATAATGCAGACATTTACAAATCATATTGTATGATGGACAAATATCAGTCCATTGTCTGAAGATTAAAATAAGAATACAAAACCAATGTAATTTTAGCTAATTGAAGCATTGGTATTTTCCAAAAAAAAATAGCTCCTTTATAATATGATGCTACTAATATTTGGAATGTTGTTCAATGAAAAATAAAAAATTATCACGTAAAGGGAGAGAGAGCCACTTGGATAGGCATGTGAGGCTAGGAACTAATAAAAAATCATGCACCAATTTCTTTGATAATTCAAAAACTGTGCAGCTTATTAGTTCAACAATGACAATAATAAAATATTGGGGCATTTACATACATATCACCCAATTTTTATGCATTTATATATCTCACACCTAAACTTTCATACTTACACACATAGCACTCAAATCTTTAATATCACGACAAAAATAGCACTAATACCAATTTATAAAAGTGAAATACACCTTCTCATGCATAGGTTTAAAACACCAAAGTTCTATGTATGTGAATATGAAAGTTCAGGCGTGAGATATGTAAATACTTGTGTGCAACTTAATTAAATTTCCAAAAAACATTTGATTTTTTAAAGAATCCATCCCTTCCAGTTATACTTGCATTACAACCATTTAATACCAACAAACAAACCAACCAAGTCCAAGTTATACAATCAAATGAGTAATTTATAGGTTATTTTGTCAGCTTATAGACAACAACTTTTGTGAACATATCCTCCTAGGTACTAGTATATAGTAGTTCTTTGTTGAAAAATTTACATATATACCACTTGATGCTTGCATATTTGCATATCTAGCACATAAACTTCAATTTTAAATATGCACCTTACCTATGTGGCGATGCATGAAAAGGTGTATTTCACTTTTTAAATGTTAAAATGGCAGTATTTTTTATGTGATACGAAATATTTGGGTGGCATAAATGTAAAAAATAAATTTTAGGTGTTAGATATATAAATAAATAAGAATTAAGTGATATGATTGTAAATGCCCCTTTTTTATGTTACTTTACCAAGGTTTCTTAAAGATGGAAAAGAACAAAATTCCACATAGATCCCCTCAAAAAATCAAATTATTACAATAACCAAGTAAGAAGTGCCTCGATGGTAACTTCTGTCTTCATTTTTAGCTCTTAGCTCTTCATCAACATCAAAGAACCAGACTAAACATTACCTCTACTGTCATGGAAAAGTGGGGAAGTCTATGCCTTCCCTTCATAGAGTTAAGTAGTCATTCTTGCTAGGCATTTCTACTGCACAAGCTCTCTAATGGTTTGGTAAAGTTCAGTTTAAACAATGCATCTTTCCTAATATATATTTATAAAGGCTAAATATACATTCTTGGAAAATATGAACAGATGCGAAGAGGAAATAATCTCAGATTGATTAAAAGAAGGAATTCTAATGAATAAAAAAGAAGATAGAAAAGAAAGCTATACCCAAAACCTATGAGACGTAGTTTCAGGCGACGGCCGCTCAGCCAAACTCATATGATCACCAGGATCCAAGTAGTTGGGATCATTGGCACAACTGGCCTCCGAACACAGTCGAAGCGCCAGGGCAAGCTGGAGCTGATAAGCCTCCTCTGCCTGCTGTGCCCAGCTCTTCGAAGACGAGGACGAGACCACTGCTTCACCCCCTTCCTTCGTCCTCACCTCACCTACACCGCCAGCTGAGGTTGGATTGTAACCATCGGTAACCATGGTTGCTGACACGGAAGATAGCGTCGTCGGGAGATAGTAATCTCCAGAGAACGAACTCTCCCCAAAACTGCTTCCACTGGACTGCCTCTGGAGGCCAGTAGAGGGAAACATGGGGCCGATCCGCACCCCAGCGCGGAGCTCGGCGACGTCCATGGCGTCGGCGCCAATTGGCCAGTCGAAGGGGATTTTCCCACGAATCTTCTCCGGTGGCGGCATCTCAATTTGGATCGGCTGAGGCTCGTCAGGGTACTGGTTGTTTAAGAGGGCGTAGCTCGATCGCCTACCGAGAACGTCCATTACAGCGAAGAGGAAGAAAAGGAAGTCGCATCGATGGAAGTAAACTACGTAACCATGGCTACACGCATCTCCGGCTGCCGGGAGAGAGGCGGTGGTGGGGGTTAGCCTGAAGATGCCTCTGAACTCTAAAGTATGGTTGATTGCAATGGATCGACACGTGCTCACGGAGAGAAAATCTTTTGACCGACCAGGGCCGATGAACACTTTAAAAAGTTAGAACAAACTGCACATGCTTTGGAACAAGTAAATAAACTTAAATATCAAAAAAAAAAAAAAATTGAAAACTAAATCTGGTGTTTTGTTAAATTAATTTTTCTGGCTTTCATCTTTTCTTCCCATGTTTCATTTTTTTCAAGGCTGATTTAAGAATTTCTTTCGCCATGTTGGGAACATCATTCATCCCCATCACCATCTGCATCAAAATAAATGTGGAGTGCATTGTTGAATTCAAATCTGTCCATTGTATCGTATCTGAGGAATAGTCGTTAAAAAGAGAAAGAGATGGGAGAGAAGTAGAGAGAGGATTGTCTAGTCAAGGGGCAAAGAGGGGTGGTCTCCTGGCTCAGCGGCCTCTTTTATTCCACTCAAGTTAGATTACAAGTGAGGGAGAACGGAAGCAAGCTCCCTACAGAAGGGGGAGAGAGAGTGTGTCTCAAGAATTCCTTTACATTCATGGAGATCTATTTTATAGAGAAAAAAGAGGTGGGACAAGATTACATGTATACCCTTGTCTTATAAGAGCAATAGGGAGCAATTTGGTCGATATTTGTTTCCGCTAGCATCGGATGGTTGACTCAAGTGGCAGATCGTTTGGGGGTGGCCGACCAAGGTGACTGGACGTCTAGCTACTCTATGGTTGGCCTATAGTGGTCGGTTGGCTTGGGTGGCAGGGCGGCTGAGGAGGTCGGTCAGGTGCTTCTTTACGTTGTCAGCTCAAGAGGCTGACTGAGGTTGGGCGACCATGGTGGTCGATTAGCCGAAATGTGTATGCCGGCCAGGATGGTCGACAAGGGATGGCGGGCTCAAGTGGTCAGTCAATAGATCTTTTTATGGTCGATTGAACTTCATTTGGCCAACCCAAGGGGTCAGTCGCATGTGATTGTCGACCGCCAAGTGATTGCCAGCAGTGAGTGATCGCCCAAAGTGATCGGTCAGTTGTAAGTTCCATAATTAGTTGACAAATGATGGTCAGCCAACTGGACGGTAGCATTCATAGGTGTCGACGACAATGTCTTTGACGGTAGCGGCTCGCTTGTCTCGATGAGTACTCTGTTTTAGGATCTACATGAAGGGCCCCCCGAGCAGTGCACTTCTTAGAGGCTAAGCTGCGATAAGAATGAAAAATTCATTAATACATAAAATATCATTTCATAAGTGTCTGGTTGGACTTAAACTATTAGCAATCCTCTTGCTAGCCTTTATGGAGTAAGTTTTTTGGAAAAATAATCATCAATTAGTGTCAGGATTTGTAGAGAGTAAGATCAAGTTTTTATTTTAGATTTTTAGATAAAGAAAATCTTCACAATTCATGTCCGCTCCTCGCTCATCTCTCTTACTCTTGTTGGAGCATTGCGTCCAATAGGCCTCACCTTACACCAGCTCTTATGTAGTATTGTCGTTGCCTTAGCGTGGGTAACCGTCAAAACTCGTTAGTGGGGTGATTTGCAACATACCTCTTGCGAATTTTGTAGCTTTGGGATAGGGAACCGACTTCATTGTTTTTTTTCTTTTTAATCGAGCTTCGAGAGGGGTTCTGGAGATCTCTTGAGGTCAAGTGAGATGTTTTGTTTGCTCATCCAGCAGAAAAGACTTAAATCAAGAGAGATAATTTGCTAGTCCCATAGGAGAGGCTTAGATCAATAAAGAGTGATTTTATCTTTTCATTTTTAAATGCTCTCCCGAAGAGGAAGCTAAATATAAAGAGATGATAGATGTCTTTTGGCCTTTATTATTTCTTTAATTTTTTTTATTGAAAACTCTCACAAAGGAGAGGCTTAAAATGAAGAGAGAGAATGTTGTTTTCTCACGAAGAGATTTGCTTTTCTTTTTTTCATGAATAATAAAAAAAAGTAAGAGAAAATATGGTATCTCTTTTTGTTTTTCTGTATAGGTCTCTCTTCCCCTTGAATTTTGAGAGAGAATTTTCTTCATTTTCTTTCTTTTGTCTTTTTCTATACTAACCTTTTTTTCTTTTGTCTTCATCACTTTATGTCATGTAACATGTTTACTTTATTTATTTTTATTTTTCGACTTGTCAAAACTGGTCTCATTCATCTTCAACTTGCTTTGTTTCTTCTTCTTCTTTTTATTTTTTATTTGTTTGTTTCTTTGCCTTAGGTTTTCTTTAATCTGAGTGGTTGTTCGTCTTGTTAACGGAACACTTAATGCTCACATCACTTTTTAGAATGCTGAATCCAAATTTGCCCTTTAGACCGTGCCAAATGAATAGAGCCAAATTCTGAGATAAGGAAAAGGAGAGGGAGAGAAATAGAGAGAGGATTGTCTCGTCGGGGGGCCCTAGCTCGATGGTCATTTTTATTCCACATAAGTTCGATTACGATTGAGGGAGAATGAGAGGAACCTCCCTACACAAAAGAGAGAGAGAGAGAGAGAGAGAGAGAGAGCCTTAGGGCCCCTTTTACATGTCAAGAAGTCTTCTATTTATAGAGAGAAAAGAGGAGGGGAGAAGATTACACATAAACCATTGCCTTATGAGAGCAGTAGGGGGGTTTTGGTCCAGGCCAGTCTCTGCTAAAATCGGGCGATCGACTCAAGTAGCCGATCGCTAGGGGTGGATGATCGAGGTTATCGACCATCTACCTTCTCTATGCCTGTCTTATAATGGTCGATCGATTGAGTTGGTCGGCTGGTGCTTCTCCACCTAGCCAGCTCAAGAGGTCTACTGAAGTTGGCCAGTCATGGTGGTCAGCCAACCTAGGTGGCTGGTCGGAATGTGGGTTGTCAACCAAGATGGTCGATAAAGGGGTGGTTGCCCCAAGTGGTCGTTCGGTAGATCTTCAAATGGGCGGCAAGGGGGTGGTTGGCCCAAATGGTTGGCCGACAGGTGGTTGCCAACTAGGATGGGCGACAAGTGATTGCTGGCTAGGATGGCTGAAAGTGGGTGACTTGCCCATGTGGTCAGTCGATTTTAATTTCCATGGTTGTCCCAGATAGTTGACCTACAAGGTTGGGTGACCAAGATGGCTGACTGACTGGAAGGCGATGCTTGTAGGTGCGGGCGATAGCTCCAACGATGACATATTCGACGGTGGCAACTCCCTTAGCTCGTTGAGTAGTCTATTTTTAGGATATAAACACCTAATCTCTAATTTTAAATACATACATTATGCATTATCTATACATGAAAATATATATTTAACTTTTTAAAAGGTGATATTTATCATACGTACATATTGGATGATTTAAATATAAAAATTTCGGTGTTAGATATTTAAATACATAGAAATTATACCTTATGTATGTAAATGCTCAATCTTTTTCTTTTCTTCCCTTTTTTTATTTTTTTGCCAAAATACCGTCTAATTATTTTGTCTTTATATCTCTAACACCTGAACTTTAATTTGTACATTTATGCAATTTTGACTATATATAAAAACTGTGATTCATTCTTTAGAAGTTAGTAATAATAATATTTTTGATGTGAAATGAAAATATTGAGTATTATAAATATAAAACTTAAAAGATAAAGTATTAGATATATAAAAACATAAGAATTGTGTTATATGTATGTAAATGCCCAACCCAACCCAACGCCCCCCCCCAATTCATACATAATTCATACATAATATTGAAATTTTAATATTTACTTTTATGATAATAAAGGAAGATTTACATGCATACCATTCAATTCTTATGTATTTATATATCTAATACTTGAACTTTAATTTTTTACATACATGCCACCTTATATATGAATGAAAAGGTGCATTCCAATTTTAAGAAGTAACAAAAAATGTCATTTTTTTGTGTTATGAAAGATTTTGGTGGTGCAAATGTAAAGTGCAAAATATAGGTGGTAGATATGTAAACACATAGAATTAGTTGGTATGTTTGTAAATGCCCCTATAATAAAGTAAAATAATATGCATTAAGAGAGTTGTTTCATTATTAAGAAGTTAAAATTAATTGTATTTTAGAATATTAGTAGTGTAAATACATAAAAATTGTATGATAAGTATGTAAATATTTCTTTTTTTTTCATTTATGTTAAAAATTATATTCAATATTTTTTTTAATGTTAAAAGACTTATAGATTTAATGATTGATCCATGTTATTGTATTTATATTTTAATGGTTTTATATAAGATATTGATCTAATTACATGGGCCCAATATATATATATATATTATTGGATATATCTATATAAGATGAGAATATTAAATAATAGTTAGATAAATTTAATTTTCTTACTAAAATTTAAACCTCATCAAACTTCCCGAAGAATTATATTATTTTTGGATAAATAAATAAATATATATATATATATAGTATTTAAAGCTAGTGCCTAGGCGAAGAAAAATTTGCGTACGTAAGACGTACGGAGCGCCGAGTGCGTCAGGTAGGTTACAGGGAGGGTATTGAGGGTTATATCCGCGTTATACCCCCTAAACTTCGCTATAACCTACCTGTAACTAGTAAGTTTCGCGCTTTTATTTTCTTATATTTGTAAATTACAAGTAGGTTACAGGGGGTTAACACAAATATAACCCTCAATACCCTATCTATAACATACCTGACGTATGTAGCACTACGTACGTCTTACGTAATTTTTTTCTCGCCTACGAGCCCAATGAGGGCTCGAAAACAAAAAAGTCGGAGTCCATGCTCCGACCATTTGGCGCATATGCGCCCGCTATAAAAGATGGCAAAATACAGGGGTTCGAATCTTTAATCCGTCGTATGAATTGCGAGCATTTCATAGTGCATCTTTCTCCTCATATATCAAGGAATGAATAATTATATTAGAGAAAATAGAATATTTACCTCAGGATCCATGAATCCCAAAAACAAAATACCTCTCAAAATTCAAATTTGTGTTGGAAAAATATATTAAAGAACTCCAAGATTTGATTGATCAAAATATTTGATGGATTAATGAATATGAAAATTCTATTTAAAATATGCTAAACTTGCAATAATTAGGGGGAAAAATTACCAAGTAACCATTTAAAAACATGATTAGAATTTCTCAATGCATTCATGCTGTCATGCAATATAGTTATTTTCTTCTTATTTTATTAATTATTTATTAAATTGCATTGCACTTCCTCTAAGGGGTGATATTCAAATTTCAAAGGGCAAACATCTAATAAGGGTCCAATTAAAATATCTTATGAGAAGTTACTTATCACCTCAAAGTCCATCAATGATGGAGACTTAGAAGTAGGGCTGTAAATGAGCCGAGCTTGAGCGAGCTCAGGCTGGGCTCGAGTTCAGCTCGTTCGAAATCGCCTCGTGTTCAAAATCGGCTCGTGAACAGTGTGTTCGTGTTTGACTCGATTTAAATATTCGTGTTCGTGTTCGGCTCGAAATTGACTCGTTACACTAAAATTGAGAAAAATAGATGTAAAACATAAGATTCAAACCTGGATCAAATCTATACAAATGAAGACACTAACCACATTGTCACATGAGGTGTTATGATTTAAACTTAGACATAAATATATATAATATATTATTATATAAATAATATATGTAATATATTGTTATATAAAAAAGTTATATAATTTTTTTTCGAGTCATTTCGAGTCGAACACGAGCGAACAAACTGTTGTTTGTGTTCGGCTCGTTTACAATGGCTTAACGAACGAGCCGAACACGAGCTGTTCACGAACAACGAACCAAATTAACAACCCTACTTAGAAGCAAAGAATGAAATAACTCCTAACTAGAACTTTATGAAGTCAGTCCTTCATAAATTTTCTTCACCTACAACTGAAAAGAAAGTAAAAAAAAGAAAAAATTGCACCAACAATTTCTTGCAAAATCAGTAAGCTATTGCATGAGCTTCCAAAACGAAAAAAAAATATTGAAAAAAAAATATTACGTCCACAGTCTGGACGCAAGCTGCGTCCAGACAACCGTTGCGACCCACCATTTTTTTTTTTTTTTTTTTTTTTTTAAAATCGTCTTATACTTCTTCGGGAGGATTGCAGTCGTTGTCCAGACACAGCTTACATCCACACTTCGAACGTAACATTTTTTTTCCTCCAACACAAACAACAACATTTTTTGTTGTCGGTACAACCATCACAAATCATGAACAGTTTAAAGAATACTTTTTTCTTTTTTTTTTCAAAATTAATAATTAAAAGGTTTCAAAAATATTCTTGAATAAATAGCTCATTATTCTATTTATAAAATTGCTCAAGCCCATGCCTATGAGTGGCACTCGAGAAAAGCTTGATGGGCTGACAAGCCAAACTCGAGCAAACCTTTATTCGAATCATTAGCTCATAAGCCAGCTCATTTACAAAAACATTTCAGATGCTTAAAATTCAAGAGAAGCCAAAACCAGACAAGTCATAGTGCTCTTCTGCAAATTTGTTTACTTTTTTGGAAAATTTACATACCGCACAGTTCTTATGTATTTACATATCTATTGTCCAAAGCTCGACATTTAGACGTATAACAACTTGATGTCATAAACAAAATGTGTGCTTCAGTTTTAAGAAGCTAGTGATGGTGATATTTTTGATGTGCTGTCAATGATTTGAGAGGGGCATGCAATCAAATATGAATATATTCAAGTGTTAGATACGTAAATACACCAGAATTGCAGGGTATGTATGTAAATGATCAAAATAATCAGAAAAATTTTAATTTTAATTTTAATATCTTAAAATCATCTTAATAGACATGAAGAGAATTCTCTGGAGCATAAACTTAGCATTCCAGATTTTTAATAACTGAAAAGAAAAACACATAATAATACAGAAGAACATGAGGCAAGAGAGGGAAGAGAGAGAGAGAAATTTAAAAAGATAGAGCCACAACAAAGCTTTAAGAAGAAAATTAAAGCTATCCTCGCAGCCATTGACAGATCTTAAAGAGCAGAGGTAGGACTTACCAGAACGGCAGTTTTTACAGTTAATGGCAGGAAGGAAGAAGAAGCGATCATCTCCAGTTGCTCCCACTTCATCCTCTTCCTCTCCTCCATTGCAGGCAGCTTCCGCTTCTCTTCTTCGAGCTTCTTCTGACAGGATAAAACGAGCTCCTCATCCATTTCTGAGAACATTTTTTTGATACTCATGGTGAGGTTTAGAACTGCCTGGTTCCAATGGCTGCTGACGTTCTTCTCCAGGGCAGGAATGATGAGAGGCACAATTATTTGGCGGTTCTGAACCACCATTGTCATGATATGGTCGTTGTTCCATAAGAAAAGAGCTCTCTCGGCAACCTGAAATGGTGGTGAGACGGTTGGGAGTCAGGGAAGCAAAGTGGGAGGAATGTTGAAGAGTTTAGTTTTGCCGGAAACGGCGGTGAAAGAAGCAGTGGAGGCGGAGGTGGAGACAGTGGCAGCAAGGTCCACTAGATTTAAGAAAATTAGACTTAGATGCAGATGTTGCTACGGATGTGAGTGAGTTGAACCGGCTCGAACTCAGACTCGTTAATGAGCTTACAAGTTGAGCTTACCAAGCCGCAAGCTTAAATTCGAGCTAGTATATTATTATATGAGCTCAAGATCGAGCATAGCTTAACGTAACTTGTAAGCTCGTTGAGTCAGCACAATTACATGAACAAATTTATTAATTAATCTTACTTTTCATATAATAAATAATTTTTTTACTATTTTATACATTTTAATATACAACAACAATAACAACAAGCCTTCATCCCACTAAGTGGAGTCGGCTACATGTGAATCCTTTTTCTCAATTATGTCCTATTAAGTGTCACAGTTTCATTTTATTCTAATAAATTAAGATCAGGTCTACATCTACCTTTTTTAACCTAAGTCAATTTCAAAACATCACTCTCCTCATAAGGTCATCAGATGATTGATTTTTAGCGTGACCAAGCCATCCAACGCGACTCTCTAATCTAAATAACACTGTAGCTACTTTAACCCTTTCACAAATATATTTATTTCACATTTTGTCTCTAAATGTAAAGACACACATCCAGCCGAGCATTCTCATCACAACAACACCTAACTTAATTTTATGTCTCTCATTTACAGAATGAACTTGCTTTGTATTTCTCTTTTACAGAACAACATTCTTCACCATAAAGCATTGCAAATCACGCCACCATCATAGAAATTTTCCTTTTTAAGTTTGAGTGATACATTTCTATCACACAATAGGCCTGATGCATTTCCCTACTTCAACCATCCAACTTGAATTTTACTGATAACATCTCCATAAATATCAGCATCACTTTGAATAAGAAAACCAAGATATAAAAAATGTTCACTCCTTTTAATGACTTATCACCAATTATCACAACCTCGCCACTGGATATACTACTACAAAATTACATTACATATATCTAGTTTTAGATATACTCAAACGAAAGCCTTTAGATTCTAAATTTAACCTCCGTAAATCAATTTTTTTTTTAAAACTCTCGCTTATCCAAAAGAAGAATATCATCAGCGAAAAACATACACCAAGATACATTCTCCTGTAGATGTCCAGTAAGAACATCCATAAGTAAAAATATATGGGCTTAAAGCCCATCCCTAATGTAATTCAATTGAAATAGCAAATACTTGGTCAATCCTCCATGTGTTCAAACACAAGTAACATATCTAATAGCATATCTTTAATAACTTGAATATAGTAATATCAACACCTTTCTTTTCTAGAACTCTCAAAAGTACTTCTCTTGAGTCAGGCATAGCTTTTATCAAAATTGAGCTTTCGAGGCGAGCTCAAGCCAGCCATAACTTCTATCAGTTCGGTATGAGCACAAGCTATAAACACAAGTCAAGCTCAAGCAAACCATATATCACATGAGTTAAGCTCAACTCGGTTCTACACATTTACACCACTAGATGTAGTTATATATAATATGAAAATTTTAGCATTGACATCTGTTACAATCATGTATATCATACAAGATTTGCATCTAAGTACTTCATCTCCTTTCAATTGAAATCCAAATTTCGTTGTATGGAAGTTGCAATGTATGCTTTACAATGTAGATGGTGACCGAACAAGTTCGTTTTTCATCAGACAACATTACGGAGCAGTTTTTTATCAATACTAATTAACTTAAAATTAACTTTGCAACGAAAATTGCGAAACTAGGATATTATTTTTTCAAAATATTGTAAAATAAAGGATAGATTTTTTACCTTCATGAGTCTTTTCACCCTAAATCATAAGATTCGCACATATAGCCTTATGTTCAATCAATCGGGCACATAAACTTCAGAAATGACAAATGTAGAATCCTCATTCAGATCTATTCATTCCACAAAGCAATAATTAGACAAGAATATTAAAAATAATTAATATTTGAATTTCTAAATTTAAAAGTCCCTATTACTCTCATCACCAAATGACTTCTCATTAAAATCATTGGCATAATAAATTGTCACATTTCTCCTAATTTTAAATCTCAATTATCTTCTATTTTTAATGAAAAATCATTGATAAAAATATTAAATAAAATAATAATTAAATTGATAGTTAGAACATCAACTAAATAATTTTTTATGGATATGTTTTTCTTTTGATTTTTATTATTTAGGGCGAGATATGAAACTTAATAAGTGGGGTATATTAACATTATTTTTAATTTTGCTATAAGAATTTATGAACAACCTAAAAAATAAGAGTTATTTTTTAGGGTTATCAATAGCCTTCCCAATGGTTTTTATCACTCATTTGGACTTCTAAATCTCAAGAACAAATGCTAGTAACAATGTAGAAATAGGTCTACTAAAAGAGGCAAAGTTTGGTAACTTCAATTCAAGAGAGATGAATGGAAACAACGTAGCCTTGCCAATAAGTCTTACTCAAGTTCGAACAACAAAATGTTTTACATCATAGCTTCCACGAATTATGCAATAAAAAAATAATAATCTTTGGGTTGTGGACAGATAAAAGTTTAAAAGCACTAATTTAGATGACAAACCACATGGAATAGATTGCAGGCAGTCATGATGAAGATCTCATAATATTAGCCTAAAACAAAATACTCGACTGACTTCAAGATGGAAATAAATTACTTGTTGGTAACATTTATGAAAACTAAGCAAATTAAGGGCTTGTTTGGGACGGCTGTAGCTTTTTTGTAAACATGGTTATAAAACTAATATAGAGAAAATAGCATTTTTTAAAACTACTATGAGTATTATAAATATTTTCTTCTTTTAAAAAAAATCATCCAGCTACTTTCTTATAGCTTCCTATCACATCTGATTCTTAAAAGTAACTTCTCATCAAAGAAATTATTAAAAGCAATAAGGAATAGCCAGCACGTGTGGCAGTAGTTTGAAAAATAGAATAATAAGTAAGATGCACCAAACAAATCCCAAGAACTTACATGTCTAAACTATACCTATTATTTAATCTACACAGAATTTAAACCTTTCATGCAAATTTGAACAACTCACGTCCTTAACAAGCATGGCCCAAACTTCATGAAAATGCTTGAGGCATTCCATAGTATCAAGAAGAAAAAGCAACTCACGTAACAAGCATGGCCCAAACTTCATGAAAATGCTTGAGGCATTCCGTAGTATCAAGAAGAAAAAGCATATGTTCGAGATTCCTTAATTAGCAAGAAGGAAATAATCATTGCGTTATGTAGACCAAAAAGAGAACTTCTACAGTTATTACAAACTTAAACAACTTTATGATGATAGCATCTTATATATGATGATGGTGGAAGAAATAAAATACTCGAAGCTTAATATTAGAAAGTCGAGATCGCTGGCATATAATAATAGTTTCTAATCAGAAGGCAGATCAAGCAAGTAGAGGTTCAGAAATGCTCAAAAAAATCGCAGATACGCAAAAGGATATATGCAAATTATAGAGTAAAATTATATAGAAACATACATGCTAAATTTGGCACATAAGTAGGAAGGAAATTACTGATAAGCATAAAACTTTCTCAAACTCATATTTTTCACATTTGTGGAGAGAATATATCTATACTCTACAACAACAACAACAACAACAATAACAACAAGCCTTTATCCCACCAAGTGGGCACGGCTAAATGAATCCTTTTTCTCCATTGTGTCCTATTGAGTGTCATATTTTCATTTAATTCTAATAAATTAAGATCATACAACAAGCCCATGTCTTTTGAGGTCTAAGTCAACCTTTTTTAACACGAGTCGAATCTAGAACATCTACTCTCTTAATCGGATCATTAGATGGCCGGCGTTTAATGTGACCAAACCATCTAAGACGACTCTCTCTAATCTTGTTTGCCACTAGAGCTACACCAACCCTTTCACGAATACATTCGTTTCAGATTTGTCTCTAAGTGTAAAACCACTCATCCACCTGAGCATTCTCATCTCAACAACACTTAACTTAGTTTTATGCTTCTCTTTTATTCGCCAACATTCCGCACCATAAATCATTACAAGATACATCTATAGTCTAAGAATGAAAGTTAAATAGATGGGCAACTGTCGCAAAGAATCATAAAATGTAGAGCCAAAAATAATAAAGAAATTTCCATCATAGGATATAGACGGAGCAAAACAATTATACCACTCCAAGCATTGATATGTTATTCATGAGATTTAAAAAGGATACAAGACGCCAACGACAAAAGTAAACTATCAATGCCACATTTTTACTCTCTCGGTGTGATTTAAAGATTAATATTGCTTCTTCACGAGAATAAATTATAGCTTTTTTGACATATCTCCAAACTATTTACTGCCGATAGGCCTGTTCAAACCAGGCTAGGTTATGATGCAATGCAATTACACGCTAATTTAAAACTTTTAGAAACATAAAAATAGATCATTTAGTTTCATTAAACTAGCCCAATATATTTAACATGCAAAATAATGTCCAACATGCATGCCCACGCTTTTTTTTTTACGGGCATTTGCAGACATAGCACACAATTCCTATGTATTTACATATCTCACACCTAACCTTTCATATTTGCACACATAGCCCTCAACTTTTTAATATCACATAAAAAATAGCGCTAACACCACTTTTTACAAGTAAAATACACATCTTCATGCATAGGCTTAAAACAACAAAGCGCTATGTATGTAAATATGAAAGTTTATGTGTGAGATATATAAATACAAGAGAATTATGTGCTACTTATGTAAATTTTCCCAAAAAATAAACTTGTAAAAGGTAACTATGGAACAAACACAACCATATTTAAAAAACAGTGGAAATAAAACAGATAGATACTGCAAGAATCATTCTAAAATATTAATAAGATTTACCTGAAAATGAGAGCTGTTAAGGCAATAAGCGATCCTCCGGAACAAAGGCACCAAACACTTTTGCAAGTCAATTCCATTAGTCAACTCCAAGATTTCTTCCAACTCAGTCAAGAACATAATCTCCTTTTGACTATTTGTCATCGGCCAATACTTCAATAGACCCATGACTACAGTACTTGCGAGCTTCGGATCTTTCTCAATAAATTGAGTCACACAATAAGTCAACTGTTGCATATAAATTCCTACTGTCTTGGGCTTATGAAGAGGAATCAATGCCCTACCAAGAAAGATCTTGTGCTCCTCCTTCAATGGAAGAGCGAACCCGCTAATCACACTTCCAAAAACCTCCAAAAGCTCAGCTATCCCGTTATGTCGTTCCGTTTCGAAGATAAATCGGAAAAAAATATTGCTCACGGCTTGGCGAATGAACGGACGATGAACCATGAATTTTCCGTAAACACGGTGAAGGACTGTTTTCAGACACTCTCGTTCTCTCGGATCTTCGGAATCGAACAAATCGAGCAATCTTAATATGAAGTAATGATCGACATATTTCTTCGCTAGCTTTGGATCTAGCGATGGGGAAGCAATGAATTGAAGCAATAATTCGTAGACTATTTGGAGATGCGACCATGCAGGATCAAACATTGGCTCTTCTTCCTCATTCTCACCGCCCCCTCTGTTGGATCTATAGTTCGGTGGGAAAACCCTAAATAGGTTTGAAGCAAACATCTTATAGCTTGCTTCAATCATGGATTCAGTGAACCGCGGAGGATTAGAATGGACATAGTCAACAAGATCTAGCAAAGTTTGGCGTTTTATATCTTTCTCAGCTGAGTTCTTGTTTGGATCAGAGAAATCAAAAATTGTATAGCAAATACTCAACTTGTTTATGAAAAGATTGGGTTTGTCTGTGTTGGAGACGTCTTTGAAGGAGATAAGAGGTTCAATTCCAGCAACAACGCTGGAGGGAAAGACAGAAGAGGGCATCCGCTTCACGGCAGCCGCGGATTTGCTGGATGTGAGATTACCGCTGGTAGAACTTTGGATTGTGTTGGCGAAAATTGCACCGCCGCCATTTGAATTGCCGGACAAGAATGAATCCGAAGCGGACTCAGATTTTGACGATTTGCGATGCAATTTGCCGAAGAACTGCTTCCACATGATGCCAAAATTGCAGGAAAAATTCGAAGAAACCCTAGTTCATGATCATGACATCGGAAAAGGTGATAAAGTGGAACATGCACTGAAGAATCGACAAAACAAGTCTGAACCAACAATCCGAGAAAAACTCAAGATTCCACCATGCAAAAATCGAGAGACGGATCCGCCACAGCGAAAGGGGAAAATGCTTGGATCTTTTGCTAAAACGCAAAGAGAAACGATCAAATACGAGAGCAAAAAATGAGAAATGTAAACAGTTTAAGGAAACAAAATCAGATATAACAATTAACTGCGCAAAGTAAATCGGAGAATAGCAAAAAAACAAGTCCTAGGCCACGAAGACGGCAGTACTATCCGTACATCTCTGATCTACCTGCATTCAAGTACAGATTCACGAGAAATGGTGACAATCCGAACAGAAGAGAGAACCCTCCGGTGAACCCTAGAAATCTATCGGAAGGGCCGACCTGAGAACCCTAGAAATCTATCGGAAGAGCCGACCTGAGGTTCTCAAGCTCCAAGTTTTTCGGAAATGGATAGAGAGATCTCGATTCGGGAGGCCCGCAGGCACGCTCATGATGGAGTTCCGAGGAGGGCGGAGCGCTGGGAACTGCCGCAGAGCTTCGCGAACGCCATGAGATCGGATAGGAATACCTCGAAGATCTCCAAAGAAGGGAAATTTGAAGCGGATTGAAGGGAGAAAATGAAACTATTTGGTAAATCTCTTTTTCACAAATAATCCATAATTAATTTAGATTAATAAATAAGTTATTTGTTTTTCTTAATTTAGATATGAATGTAAGAACAACACATTTGAGAGATTCACACATGTGGACAACCAAATGCCAGTCGACAACACAACCAACTGTCGTTCGATCATTCTATGACCGGTCATTTGCATCTGATATAATATTTTCTCTATCTCTCAGGGCGGTTCGTAGACCATCCCGTGATTATCATTTTTTTAATATTATTTTAATTTGTTTTATTAAATATTTAAATTTCTTAAAAAAATTTTCCTTTCTAATTTTTATTTGTAATTGCCAAAACTATTGTTGCATTCTGAATTGTACATTAATCACACCAAAAAAATAGACCATAAGGACAGAGATAAAGAAATACCGAGAAGAGTGAACATTAATAAACAATAATTTATATGTTTGTTCATAAAATGATCTCAATATTTATAGAGAAAAGAGTGCAATATAATGATATTACATTTTTGTCATTGTTTTATGAGACTGCTGTGAGGCTATACTTTGCCGTGATCAATCTCTTTAGTCAGTTTTGGGGGGCAACATCAGCTCCACCATCTCATTATCCTCTTTGTTTATACTATTACTTTAATTCATTTTATTAAATATTCAAATTTCTTTGAAAAGAAAAATTTCATTTTGAACATTCATTTGTGATTGTTAATGTTGTAAAAATAAAATCTTTGTTTTCTTTTTTTTTTCCAAATAATTTAGTCAAGAGATAATTACCCTATATTTTTTTATTTAGTCATTTACATGCAAAACACCCAATACCTACATAATTACATATATAACATCCAAACAAACATATTTACAAACACGCCTTATCACTCCATTTATGGAAAAATTATTGCATACATACACCGCATGCAGGTGCGTGCGGTGTCCGATCTTGACCGTTGATCACGGTGATCTACGGTCAGGATGTATTTCGGTAGACCCCACTTTATTTTTTTTATTTTTTTAAATAAATTTGATTGCATCCTGACCGAGTCAGGATCGGACACCGCATGCATCTCTACATGTGGTGTATATATGCAATAATTTTTCCAATTGATGGGCATATCTTTTTGTTGTGATTTCAAAAAAACTAAATAAATGGATGGTTAATTTGTAAATATTTATGTTTTTGAGTGGTATGTATGTAATTATCCCTAATTTCTTATACGTAAACTTGAGATAATGCCCCTTTTTTTATAAATAAAAATTTAGAGCAATTGAAATATAATAAAAATTTAAAATACATTTTATGAAATAATAAAAAATAATAGATCTATTTTGGGGCTTCCATCCCTTATCTCCCCTTCCAACCCTTATGATGGGTGCACAGCTTTATTGGATTATGCAAATCTTAGACTGTATAGATTAGGGAAAATTACATTTATAGCACCCAAAACATTACTATTTACAAATCTAACACACTCTTTTCTCCATTTTTTAAATTCTTACTCGAATATCAAAATTCATGATATAATCCGAAAGCAAGCTTTTCATTTTTATAAAATTTTCAATTATTTGATCGTGGCATGTGTAAATAAATTAAGACGCTAATTAATCACTCTACTGCCACGAATTTTGTTACACATATCAAATGAAAAAATGTTCCAACAAAAATTGAACGTCGTTCTAGCAAGTTATAAATTATAATTCCTGGTTTCAAATCTATTTGGTAGACTGTGCCCAAGGAATAGAGTGTTGAGACTGGGGAAATGAGATTGAGAGAGGGAGAGAAAGAGAGAGGTAGGAGGAGAAGATGAAGACTTGCCCCGTCGGGGCAAATCGGGTGTTCTCGAGCTCCTTGAATCATTTTATTCCATAAAACATAGAGATTACAAGTAGGGGAAGAAATTACCTCTAATACATGTCATAACCCTCATATCTATAAAAGATAGAAGGGACAAAGTACAAAATTATATTATTAGTCTCGTTTAAAAGAGAAAAGTAAAAAGTATTCTAGTTTTCTTATTTTGGACTGTTAGATTGTCTCGAGATCCGTGCAGATCATTTTTTAACATACCATAATCACAATAACTATAATATAATTGATACAAGTTTAATACAACATAGTGCAATCAAAATATATAAAATAAAGTATAATTAAGTGTGTATCATTGATTGAATTGATAGATTATTTATTAAGCTAAATGCACAATTTAATAAATTAAATGTACATTAGTACCTTATAATTTACATATATTGACCTATGGATCCATATTATTAAAAGCTAAATGCACAAAAACTTAATTTTTGTAGAATGACATACTATCATGTATAACATTCAATAGCTCTTTATTTGAAATTGTGTTGATGATGTACCTGGGGCACTTAAAAATTGTTGTCTGAAAATTGATTCGAATTGTGGCTCGGATCAAGATAAAAGAGCCGAGCTACGAGCCATGAGCTAAGATTTTGAATTGAATTTTTTTAATTGACTTAAATTCAATCTCAAACCGGCTCGAAATCAGATCATTAATAACCCTAATGATAGGTGTGAATTTAACGAATTTTGCTCGGAGATCGTTAATAACTAAAAATTTTGCATGTATCAAATTCGGATTGAAATAAACGAACAGAGCTATGAGTCAAAATTTTGGATCAATTTTTTTTGGGCCAATTTGCGTAAAAAATATTACATCAATACTACGCACGTAGAATAACGTGCGTTGCCAATGAAATCACGCCACGACACCCGCGCGATAGATAAAAAAAAACGGCGCAGTAACACGGGGAATATTCCCTCCCGCGTTATTGATGTGTTATTCTGTGTTATTCATAACACTTGAATAACACACAATAACACATGAATAACACGGAGGAAAATATTCTCCCGTGTTACTGCGTCATTTTTTTCTTTGTCGTGAATATTTCCTGTGTTATTTAGGTGTTATTGTGTGTTATTCATGTGTTATTTTGTACTGAGAATATTCTTGGTGTTATAACAACACAATAACACATCAATAACGCATAAATAACACACAATAACACATCAGTAACACATCAATAAAGCGGGAGGAAATATTCCCCGTGTTACTGCGTCGTTTTTTTTCTCTGTCGTCGGGGTGTCGTGGCGTAATTTCATTGGCTATGCACATTAATTCTACGTGCATAGTACTGATGTAATATTTTTTCCCAATTTGGAGCCGACCCAACTCAACTCAAAATAGAATTATTAACAACCCTGAATGTATCATACAACATGAAAAAACGAACACGATACACCCAAAGAAAAAAATTCGATGTATCGCATCTGTTGTCGAGAAGCTGATTGTGTCTGGACTCTGGATACAATATTTTCACAATATTTCATGCTCTCAAATATCCCTCACTTTCCCACACCTACTATCTTCTTCTCCGGCGAGGTCAGCTTCCGATCTCTCTGCAAGTTGCTAAGATGCTCGATCTCGTTCAGAACTAAATGTCCATCTCTAGTCAAATAAACCCATTTTAATCTTATTCTCCCCTTCCTTCTACTTCCATTATCCCTTTTAAGAATCCTATTCTTCGTCTTCTCTGATCTCCAACTGGTTTCAACCATGGTTTTCCTCTGTTTTTTAATAGCTGAAACGAGCCGCTTAGAGATGCCGCAGAACAAAACCTCGAAGAAACAACGCTTCCTCTCTACCTCTTCCCTTCAATTTACCGAATCACTTAGCCCGTAGATGTCTGTATCAGTTAACGCCATTAAAGTCTTCTTCTTCTCCAATCCATCCAAAACCAGACATTTTTCTTCCTCGAGGAGGTCAAAGATTTCACCTTTATTCTCCGCTTCCAAAACGCACGGCTTTCTGATAAAATCAGGGACGTCTGCTGATATATATGCTTGGAACAATGTGCTGGCTGGTTACGGCAGATGGAGTGGGGTTCAAGCCGCACACAACCTGTTCGACGAAATTCCTCAGCCGGATTCTGTATCCTGGAATTCTCTCATTGCAGCTTATGCACTTACAGGAAACCATGAACAGACATCTCGTCTGTTCCAAAAGATGCTACAAAAGAGCTTGTTCTGTAATCAGTACACACTTGGAAGTCTTCTGAAGTCAGTTTCTTCCTCCCAATTCCCACTCCTGGGGCTTCAGCTCCATTCTTTTGTCATAAAAACAGGCCTCGATCAAAATGTGTTCTCAGGAACTGCCCTGGTAGACATGTACGGCAAGTTTGGTAAATTAGCTGATGCCCATTCGGCGTTCGAGTCGATAGCTCAGCCTAACACAGTCTCATGGAACACCATTATTTCAGCTCAAGCTCAACAAGGAGATCTCACCACCGCCATTTCGCTGTTTCGTGACATGGAAATGGAAGGTTTAAAACCAGATGAATCATCGTTCGCTACCTTGTTACCGTTGCTCAATGATCCTTCATGTTACAGTATGGTGGTTCAAATCCATGCTAAGATTGTTAAGTTTGGTTGGGTGGTTGATGCCATTGTGTACAATGCCACCATCACCGCTTACTCCGAATGCGATTCGTTGATCGAGTCAGAGAAGTTGTTTGATGGCATGGAAGACATCAGAGACTCTGCAAGTTGGAATTCGATGCTTGCAGCCTATGCTCACCATGGCTTCATGGAAGAAGCAGTGAAGCTCTTCATGAAAATGCAGAAAAATGAGATTTTTCTTGATATTTACACATTTACCAGCATCATAAGTGCTTGCTTTGAGTGTGGGCAGATCTGCCAAGGAAGGATTTTGCATGCATTAGTTGTTAAAAGTGGCATGGAAGGGGTACTCTCAGTTTCCAATGCTCTAATAGGGATGTACATTTGTAATACGGAGGAAGCTTTGAAGTTCTTCAATTCAATGGAGCTTAGAGATGATGTTTCATGGAATTCTATACTGACTGGATTCTCACAACATGGGTTTAGTGAGGATGCATTGAAGTTCTTTTGCCATATGAGATCAGTGAGGGCTCGGATCGATCACTACGCGTTCTCCGCCGCACTTCGTTCGTGCTCGGATTCGGCAGTGCTTCAGTTGGGTCAGCAAATTCATGGCCAAGTCCTGAAATCAAGTTTTAGATCAAATAATTTTGTGTCTAGTTCACTTATTTACTTGTATTCTAGATGTGGGATCATCGTCGACGCCCGAAAGTCGTTCGACGAAAGTTCTAAGGATGACTCAGTCAGTTGGAACTCAATGATTTTCGGGTACGCTCAACACGGGCATGGAGAGGTTGCTCTAAATCTCTTCCATGAGATGCAAGAGCTAGGTGTGGAGGCAGATCATATAACCTTTGTAGGCCTTCTTAGTGCATGTAGTCATAGTGGTTTAGTAGAAGAAGGCTCCAAGCTTTTGGAATCTATTGAGCCAGTCTACGGGATTCGATTACGTATGGAGCACTACGCGTGCGGAGTCGATCTTTTCGGTCGAGCAGGTCGTCTTGCTAAAGCGAAAGAGCTCATCGAATCGATGCCATTCAAACCGGACCCCATGATTTGGATGACTCTATTGGGTGCATGTAGAGTGCATGGGAACATGGATTTGGCTGGCCCTGTCGCGAAGAGTTTGATAGAATCAGAGCCATCAGTTCATTCCACATACGTTATTCTCTCGAATATGTGTGCTGGATTAGGGTTTTGGGATGGTAGGGCGATGATGCAGAGGGCGATGAGGGATAGAGGGGTGACGAAAGTGCCGGGTTGGAGTTGGATTGAGGTGAATAAGAAGGTGCATTCATTCCATGCTGAAGATAGATCCCATCCACAATGTGAGGAGATATATGATGGTTTAGAAGCTTTGATGGATGAGATAGAACATGTGGATAATGAATGCAATGAGGAAAGCTATGTGATACAATGTTGTGGTTCCATCTTCTTGTAAGTTATTGTATTCTTTTCTTCAATTGGAATTAGTTATAATTTTTTTTACCCTTTTCTAATATTCAGATGAATCAATATGGATGATAAGAATCAAGTGAAGGTGACTTTATAAATATGCCACACAATTCTTGGGTATTTGCATATCTAAGCATCTAGGTTTGATATTTATATTGTCATAACACTGGTGTCATAAATTTATGCATGAAATATGTATTTTACTTTTAAAATGTTGGTAATGGTGGTTTTTCGATGTGATGTTAAAGATTTGAGTTTTATGCACGTAAATATGAAAGCTTAGTAGTTAGATATGTATGTATATGCGAAATTAATTTTTACATAAATGCCATCTTACTTGTGCATGAACAACAGTATTTCACATTTGAAAGTTTAAATAGTAGTATTTTTTATATGATACGAAAGATTTGGATAGCGATGGAGTAAAAAATCAAAGTAAAGGGGTTAGATATGTAAATACATGTGTTTTGGGTGGAATGTATGTAAATGGCCCCAAGTATTATGTAATCATGTAGAGGTGGGCATGCATGGAAGCTTCATCTAGTCCACCCATGCAAGCTCATCTCAAGTCAACTCAACTAACACATGATACATTATGAAATCCTTAATAAGTTTTTTTTCATATAATTTTATGGATTAAATTGATATTAAATTTTACAATTTTCCCCTTTTCTCATGTCATTTTTCTTTGCAAAAATACTTTTATATTTAATAAAAAGGCATACACATCAACCACACAATTCTTATGTATTTACAAATCTAACAACTAAACTTTCATATTTGCATTCATCACACTAAAAAAATTTAATATCGCAACAAAAATATCACTATTATTAACATCGGAAATATAAAATATACATTTTCATACATAAATTTATGACACTAAGATATTACAAATGTAAATATCAAACTTTAGCAACTCGACATAAAAATACAAAAGAGGAGAAAATATTATGTTCAGATAATGAAAGTTTGGACAACGATGTGGATCGCAGCACGTTGCGTGTTTGTGCGATCGACACTGTCGTCCGCACGACGACCGATTAACCTCAAATGTTTGTGCCGTCATGGAGACTTCCAATGCACTGATCCCTACAAATTTATGCGACTAGATGACAAATGATAGACATTACCACTGATTGGTTTTTGTATCTATGATATTTATTTGAAATAGCAAATACTATTTGTGATCCGGCTAGTATTTAACATGGTTTTAAAAAGCTTACAAATCCTCTGATCAATTCAATCCAAATTCAAAATCATTTTCACATAGAATCTATCAAAATTAGCGGCTGAATCATTGACCAAATATTGACTTTCTTTCTTATTTAAATCAAATTGATGGAGAAATAAAATTAGAATAAAAATAGAAAGAAATAGTTAAATATATTCTAAAATTTTTAAAACTTTGAATAATATTCAAAATATTTAAATATTATATTTGAATTGGTAAGAATATAACTACTATAACATTTAAATTATATTAAAATACATTTAATATTTATCACACCATCAACCCCAATTAAACCATTAAATCTCCAAACTCATTTCTTCCAGTTCAATGTCAAAGTCATTCAAAGAAGCAGCTTAAAAGTATGCTTACATACAGTCCACCTGAAACTTGGTATTTACAAAAACAACCCTCTTTCATCCATTTTTTAAATTCTCGCTCAAAAATACAGATTCATGGTAAAATCCCAACCCATATTTTTCATTTTTATCAAATTCTGTAGTGTAGTTTGATCATGACACGCGTAAATACAAATTGTTTATTAGTTCCAAAAAAAAAAAATTTCAGAACAACAACAAAGCCTTGATCCCACTACGTGGGATCGGCTACATCAATCCTTTTTCTCCATTGCGTCCTATTTAGTGTCATATTTTCATTCAGTTATAGTAAATTAAGATCATTTTTTATACAATAAGCTCAAGTCTTCCTAGGTCTGCCTCCCTTTCTTAACACAAGTCGAATCCTAATTGGATCATCAGATGGTCGACGTTTAATGTGACCAATAATCTAAGACGAAAAAAAAAAAAAAAAAAAAAAAAAAAAAAAAAAAAAAAAAAAAAAAAAAAAAAAAAAAAAAAAAAAAAAAAACAGCTGGGTGATTAATTTGAAAAAATCAAAGTTTTGGGGGGCCGGCATATAATTATCCCTTTGAATTAATTGGCTATCTTATTACAAGTAAATTACCAAATGGACAAAAAATTTAAGGTCTATGCAATAGATAAAATACTATTTAGCTGACATGGTAAGCTCTTAGACAAGGTTTGCTGAGATCAGAAACTAAGGGCTTTTTATATAAATACCACACAACTCCTATGTATTTACATTATCTAACACCTAAACTTTATTTTTTTACATTTATACCGACCAGATCTTTCATATCAATTCAAAACTACCATTATTTACAATTTCCATGAGGGTGGCATGCATGTAAAAATTGAAGTTTAGGACTTAGATATATAAATGCGAACATTCCAAATAGTAAGTTCTTCAGCATATTTTTCTCATGAAACTCAAATACTTAAGCAAAGTAAGGAAACCTGAATGTCATGATCATTTTTTCCACTGTGGTAGTCTCTGCACAATGACCTGAAAGCAAAGTAGGAATAAGAATATATCTGAAAATTATCCCAGAAAAACAGACTCATGGTATAGCTTGTATCCCACTGCTAGCTCAATTATATATAAATAATAATAATAATAGCTAAAATTAAAAATATAAAATAAAAAAGCGGCATTTACATACATACCACCCAATTCTTATGTATTTACATATTTAACACCTAAATTTTACTTTTTTACATTTATGCCCCCCAAATCTTCTGCATCTTTTTAACTTTTAAAAGGTGAATTACAGCTTTTTATGCATGGATAAGGTGACATGCATGTGAAAATTGAAATTTAGGTGTTACGGAGGTAAATATATAAGAATCGAGTGGTATGCATTAAAGCCTTTCCCTTTGATAAAGGGAATACTGGCATTCAGACGCAAGAAAATAAGGATATTAGCATTCAACATGAGAATTGGTTCTAGATGTGTAAAATTGTGGTTATGTAAATACCTTGCCAGAGTTTTCTTTGTTTCCCACGATAGTTTGACAAGCAAGCCTCCAAGATTCGGGTTTCTGCAAAATATAAATAAGGAAGAAAAATGGAATATTAGAAATTGTTATTTTTTTATTTATAGGATAGAGCTGTAAATCATAAAATAATAACTTGCGCCACAAAAAAGTTGTTCTAATTGACACGTTACGAACAAATTTTCATCATCTGGCACAAATCTCAAGACAATATTTTAAGCATGAAGCATTCAAATCTTGATAAAAAGTCATCCATAGCTCTGATTTCAGCAAACTTATAGTCAAACTGACCGGCTTGATGAGACAGACCTAATGAATAAAAACTAGCCCAATCCAAGTCAAATCAAGTCATTGAACCACACTTAAATGATTTCCGGATACATTTGAAAGATCAAAGGGTTGTCGAATATGACAAGTTTATATTCGAATCAAGCGGCTCGACAAGACGAATCCAGCGAGCCCACGATCACTCAATTCTGACATTATTAAGACACACAAATGTCCAATAAACGTCGTATGATCAATGCACTCATATGTCCATCAAATCACATGATCGAGGGAAGCTCTTCGGACCGTCCGATCAAAATGATTCATATTCCTGCATTAATTGCAACCAAAACACTATAAATAGTCTCATCCCTCTCATGAGGGGCTGAAGTCTGGAGAGAGCCTGAGACCTTGAGGAGAAGTTGTAGTTCAACATCACCGTCGATCGTCGTCGAACACCGCTGACCTCCGTCGTCGACTACCGCCAACCTCTGTAGTCGACCACCGCCGATCGCAGTTGACCATCGCCGACCCCCGAAGACCATCACCGATCGTCGTCGACCTCCACCAACCATCATCGATCACCACCAACCAGACGCTCTCAGTCAACGTAGTAATCTGAAAAAAATAGTTACCCTTTCCAGTCTGTGGGATAAAAGATTTCTATAACCATCAATCAATAATAAGTTTTCGCAACTCGGTCAAACAACGTGGTTTTTTCCTTTACAAACTTTTCACGTAAAAACTTCTAGAGTAATTAATGTCTTTTATTTTGCATCTGAGTGTGTGCAGAATTCTCGTACAACGCTAAGACGATAATCCGTTACTCTACCGCCGCGAATTTTTTGGCACGCATCACTAACCATGCCTTAATTTTGATGCAAGAGGGTTAACTAAAGACAATTTTTGTCCTTTATCGCTACTGGCTACAATCAACTGCTAAAGTCAACATGGATTTGAGTGAGCGGGTCGAGTCAACCAAGGGCAAGACCAATCAAGATGAAATTTATCAGAAGAGATTACACCAATATAATTTCTTTGCTTTAGACAAACATTGTCCTAAAAATCTAAGCATTACAAAACTAGCCAAGAAAAAGCCTATTAATAAACCATTGGATCATTAAAATGGAAGAATTTGGTTATATGGATTATCCACTAGATTTTCATGAAAATTCTAGAAGAAGACTTCACATCTTCCACTGTTGTCGATGAGTTCCTCCATCTTCAACAAAGTTTTTATCAGCAATTGAAGCCCTCATCATGGCCATCCCCTTGGTCATCACCCACTATCATCATCCACTATAACTTCCCTTGCTTGTTTGGTTGTCATCAGTAGTGCCCATATTTAGAGGCGACCATTCGATCGATTTGGATGGATAGGTTTTTAAATTGGTCAAATCGATTGCAACAGATATCCAAAATCCGTCAAACCAAACCAATTAAAATTTTGATAAAGCCAAATTGAAATTTAATTTGGATTAAAAGGTTTGGCTATAAAAAAACTGAAATTTAGTTATTAGTTAGAGCTTAATCATGAACAAACATCAAGAATTATATACATCATGTATGAGATCGATTTAATTTCACAAATCCTCCATTTAATTTTGAAATGGTTGTTTGAGGAATGGATGGTTGTGAGACGCAAAGAGACAAATGCCCGATTGAATCAATGCTTTCAAATTCGATAATATGATTAGGCTGAAAGTGAAGACTAGTGAGACTTTTGAGATTCTTCTCTCTTTATTCTTTCATTCATAGTTAAAGGATAGATGGGAGCAAGAAGCCTGGGTCAACCATCATCGAAAGAGGGACTAGCATTTTGACGGTAGAGGGAGCCAAGCCTATACCTACCACTGACTCTTAACGAGGGGAGTCATCTTTGCCAGTTTGATTATTGAGGAGATTCATATGGCATTCTTACGTTGGCTACGGTTTTTGATCCGCGAGATCCTTCTCTAGGATTTTTCTACTCCAAAGTGTCCTTCCCACAAATATCCCGGTCATGAGTGAGAGTCATCTTACACATTCTTTACAGATATCCCGGTCATGACTTGGTCATCTTACACCGACTTATTTGATTAAATAAAAATTAAAACCAAACCAATAATCGAAAACTGAATATTGAGATTTTAAAAGCAAAAAGCATAAATGAATTTTGAAACCGAAATAAATCAAACTTGTTAGGTTCGATTCGATTTTCGGCTTTCACCGAATAATACAAACCCCTACTCATTCTAACTTATGATCGACCCAGGAATTGCTTCTAAGCTTTTGTTATTAAAACCTTTGGGCCCCCAAAGTCCTCATTGTCTTAGGGTCCCCTTGGGGCCGCTTTTTTAGAGCGGGCCCCAAACTGCGACATTTCTTCGTTTGGAAGCCAGATTCGCAGCGGCCGACTGCTGAAATTTGCGGAATCCCCCCGACTAATATTCCCTATTCCCCCCGCCCCGCGATCCATGCTGTCTCGCGAACGCTCCCGTCTCTTGCCCTATTCCGCCTAGTGTTCCCGAGCCTTCTCGCGAAGTCCCTTGTTACTTCTCTATCCTCGACGAAGCAGGTAATCGTTGAGCTCCCTGAGAAGAAATGTCGGCGAGGGGAGCAAGGAAGGCGCGTCTAGCTCAAGCCCTGGATTCTTACATCAGAAACATTGAAGAGATGTTCCAGGTGATTCCCGATCTTCCACTTCTCGATGTCTTCATTTTCCTTATTTCCTCTTTATGGTTTTTAGATACTGGAGAAACTTGCAGCCTCTTCTCTCGAGAAACTGGAGTGGTCGCAAGTCATTAGGGGATGAAGCATCCAAGCAAGCCATTATAGGTATCCCTGTCCTTTGTTTCTCTTTCCTTTTGGAAATTTCTATTTCTTGATTCTATTATTGGCGTGGTGTTCATATCAAAATCAAATAGTGTTTTTTTTTACTGAATTTACCTGAAAAGCTCTTCTAAATCTCTTTAGGTTTAAAATGATATTATTTGACTTCAGTCTACATTTTTTTTCATTTGATTATGTAATTTCTAACACTAATAAACGATCATTTGAAGTGTGATTATGAGCCAAAAGTTATTTTTCCAATTTTTAAGATAAGGAGAAGAAGAGGCACATTGTTTTTCTATTGTTTAATCAACTTTTTGATGCTTCAAAAAAAAATTCAAACAATAATTTTGATCACACTAGCTTGACAAAAGATGTAATTAATCAAAAAACATCTATTGGAAAGATAATTTACAAAATATTGGCTATGATTTTCATGAATTATGGTTTTTACCTTTCCCTTTATCACATTTGGTACTCTTTTAAATTGTTTCGAATTGAAATTCTACTTCAGAAGTATCAAATATGTCGTTGTCACAGTTCTGTTTTAAACAATTTTACCAAACATGGGCAACATGGTTATTTTTCTAGAAACAGCTGCCCCAAAGCTATTTTCACACAGCTGCACCAAACAAACAGTCAGTTTTCCCACAATAGCTTCCCCGCAGCAATTTCCTGGAGCAGCGCAGCTGCAGCTGCGCCAAGCAGAGCCTTAATTAGCCGCAACTACCATACTTAAGACTGGTTGTTATCGCCATTGCCACCATTGAGCTTGTTGCTATAACTGCATTTGGATCACTTGTAGCCGCCGCCTTATAGTTCATTATAATAATTTTCTCCAATTTAAATTAGTCATCCCTCATTAACTAAAAGCACTAGCTTTGACTCACTACAATTGCCACCTCTAGATAATCACAATCACAATCTTCTAGTTCGTCATAATTACCTGCATCGTTTGAAACTTCACGATGAAGCCTCCTAATGCAATATGATACAAATACCCTTCTAATGAACCTAAAAAGGGTGATATCTTGTATTTCATTCCAAGATAATGAAATCCATTCAAGTAAGGCTTTATAGTTTTTCTCTTTTTTTGAAGTAAAATAAAGCTCGTTTCACTTCCCACAATGCTAATCTTTTGTATCTTCGTGTTTATGAAAAGAAAAAAGGTAAATGAAATCAACCATCAGTCTCCTCTGATTTACTGCACATAAGTTTGTTCAAGAACATGCCTTCTTCAAATAACGCTTCTCAGTGTCCGTCTTTTCATTCAGTAGATCCTTTCCATCAATAATCTGAAAATTTAATATATATATATATATATATATATATATATATATATATATATATATATATATATATATAAAAGAAAATTTTGATGAAATAATTTTAGAGAATAATGCTTTGATAAATGACTAGAATGAAAAACAGGCAGTGTAACGGAAGGCAGCAAAGTAGGAGGAAAATGAATAAGTGCAACAAATTTACACTACATTTAAAAGCAAAAGTAAAAAAAAAATTGAGATACAAGACAGCATTCAACAAATTGAATTTTTTCTTAAACAAAATAAATTGCCAAGATTGTTTGATTTAATGTATAGCACAATGAATGCATTGTTGTATGAGGAGCTCTTAACACAATTAATTAGACAAAGTGGAGTTATATTATTGCTATTCAGAGATATAAGATAAGAAAATCATGACAATGTAAATTTTTTATTAGGTAAATTTTTTATTGGACTATTAATAACCTTCCACTGAATTAAAAGTTGAGACATCAACTAATTAGAACTACATATAAACCTGATACCCTACTTACATGTATGTGAAATAATTAATCAATATATATCAGCTACCAGTGATTTTTATACCAAAAAAAGCATTCAAGAAGAAATAAACATTTCAATAGAAGATTCAACAGATTGGTTCAGCACCCTTTTGAGGATTTTATGTGGTGCAACATTTTAAAGCACATTTATACATTTAAATCCACATACATCTCATCGCTGACCTTTCCTGCACTGGAGCAAAACCAATGCAACCGCTCATCCCCATCCTAATGTGCCCACTATCACCACACAGAAGATCTTGCAACTCCTATCGAGTCTCTCCCTTGACCCAGTTCTTTCGAGCCAGCTAGGCAATGATTTGAGTGACTTACACGTCTTCTCTACCTTATGGCACATGGTTATCTGGTTACTGGCTCTCTCTTATGTCACCTTGCCCAACTTTATCATTTAGCCTCATTTCCCTTTTTTGCCCTCAAATGCCTCCTCCGCAAGCTACCCTCATATGGTGCAATTACTCCATACCTTATAGATCAAGTGATTGCCACATCCTTGTTTACCACTTCGACAACAACCTAACATGCCCAAGAAACAAGCCATGTCAACCACCTTCCTGCCCATATCTTAGATATTATGAAACATGTGGCACTCAATGTCAAATGATCGAGTAGTGCCCCATTATTAGCTGATTACCTCACGATCTACGACATACATCTACTCACTAGCACCTAATGTTTATGGGTGTTATCCACCTGCATTGAATTCCCTGAGCCCACCATGCTGCCAATAATGCTCAGGCCACTGCCATATAGCTGCTAAATAATGGTGTTTCTCACCGCAATTGAGCGATCTCTTGCCTTACGCTTCATGTGATGTCCTATACGATATTATGATTGGAGATTAAATGGCTTATCCAAAAATTACATATATGTCATCTCTTTGTCCCCAAACTCACATGTTTTTGCTTAAATAATGTCCTTTTGTGCACCTAACACAAAAAAGCCTTTTCCATACCTTAATAGTCTTTCTAATCATGTTATTGGCAAGAATTTTCATGTAAAGAGTTGTGCACAACGATTGTTGTGGTATATATATATAGAAAAAATAGAAGAACGATCTTTGACGAAGCGAAAAAATAGAACGATAAATTTCACACCAGAAAACAGTAACACAGCAAAACACACAGATTTATGTTGTTCGGCAAATTGCCTACGTCCATGGAGTTGCAGATGATTTTACTACTTGAGGAATTTACACCAGTCGATCGTCTCGACTTACAAGAGGGATCTCTCACTTCCATGCTCTCTCTTCTTCTCTCTCTATATTGACATACACCGAAAAAGATAAACTTACAAGAGAAATAAACTCAATTTCTCTTCTGTCACAAGCCACCAAGAAGAAAAAGCCAAGGGAGAAAAATCTTCTTCTTTCTTCTTCCTTCTACAGCAAGAAACTACTGCTTTCCTTCTCTTTTTTTATCCTGTAGAAGCTTTCTCACCTGTAGCAGTAGATCACATCGAAGGGGAGGAGAGGAGGCTACTATTCGAGACATAAAAAGGAGTGGGGCGGTGTCGATTCGCAAAACGACAGAAGAGGCGGGAACAATTCGCGACAAAGGGAAGCGGGAGCGATTCACGAACAGCCGGGTCACGACCCTTCGCGATCGGGAACAAATAGCGAGAGAGGGATCGCGAGGTTTCGCGATCGGGAGTGGGAACTAGCGGACGGGAGCGGGTATAGATCTCCACATTTAACAAATCTCCCACTTAGAGACCAATACACAGACTACAACTTCTTATTCCTCAAACTGATATTCTCTACTAGCGGTGTCGTCCTTTTCTTCAAACATGAATCCTCCACCTCTGCAACTCAAAGTTTTTGTCTTCACACCAAAAGACCAACTGAAGCTGCACACTGCTTCAGTTTCTCAAGAATAACATCCTTAGCCAACATATCAGCAGGGTCAACATAGTCTTGCAACTCCAAGCTATTCCTTGGGTTACTCTTGTATCTGCTTACCACTCCCACTGCATGGACAATATCTTGTCTCTACTGAAAGCCTTTTTCAACAAGTCTAACCTTGTACCTCTTGCTGCCATCAAGCTCTATCTTCACCCGGTACACCAATTTATTGTGTAATGTCTTCTTCACAGGTGGAAGTTCCATCAGCTCCCTCTTCCCCGAATTTTTATCTTGCAAAATTTCTTCACAGCTCTGTGGTTCTCCACTATTTGTCTGTGAAACTATAGGAATAGGTGTCTGATACACCTAAAATATAGTATTTTTAGACGCATTTTTATACATATTTTTGAGATATTGAGTTTTAATGGAATGTATTTGTGTGTTTTTCTTTCAAATACAAGTAAAAAGGTAAAAAATGCTGAAATGAATGAAAAATGATCAAATTTGGAGCAAAGAGATGAAAATTGTGCTAAAGTGTTTTGGCGCCTGAGCTCCAGATCCGGTGCTTAAGTGCTGGTTAAACAAAGAAGGCCGCGCCCAAGCGCCAGAGGCCCCGCTTTTAAGAGATATTTAAGACACATATTGGCTAAAGAATGTGGTTATGACCACTAAAAACAAAAATATTATTAAAAGACTTATGAAAAGAGGCATCTTTTGGAGAATACATCGAATTGGGACACATTTTGAAGAGTTATCAAGACACCTCTTGGAGATATATAAAAAAACAGTTGAGACTTTTTAAAGTGTGCTTGAAAGTTCTAAAAAATGTTGGAAATGAGAGAGTTTTGGAGAGATTTTCAGACACCACAAATTTACTTTATCCTTTTTGTTTTTAGTTTATTTTGATAGTGTTGTAAAAGAGAAGAGATTCAAAGGAACTTCAAGAGTTTGGTGGAGAATTTGAGATAAGTTTTTATCTTCTGTTTTGAACTACTTCTGGTTTTAATTGAGATTTCTTGTTAGTTCGACAATGATTTCTACTTTTAAACTAAAATGTGATTTTGTTTTCTCCATGGATTCTGAGTAGTTTTCTTTATCTTTCTCCTTAAAATGATAAGTAATTAAAATGTTAGATGAAAGTTGTGAAGAGTATTGATCTTTAATGTTCGAAGAAGTTGTGATGATTTAAATCCATGAACTTCATTTACCCATGATGTGATGATTTAAATCCATGAACTTCATTTACTTCTTGATTTGACATATCCAGATGTTAAAATTTGTTATGAGAACATGTAAAAACCGGACTGGTATTTGTCAGTCAACAATTGAAAATAATCACATGAGGTTGTATGAATGAGAATGTAATTCATATGATTTAGTGCAAATAAATAGAAAAATATCTTTGAAGGGTGTAGAGTTAGAGGACTTTAAAGTGATAGGTTAAAGCCCTCAACTTGGTTTATTGTTTTAGGTTCTGATACGAGATGTTAGCCCACAAGTGGAGGGAATCGAAGGAACTTTAGAGTGAGAGCTGGTATCTCCCGTCCTTAGCCGGTCTTCAAAACTATTCAAACTTTAAATTATCAAATATTTTTATAGCATCTCTAGTAAGGGTAAAAAATATAATTGCTCATATTTGACACAACACAATTTGCATACTACCACAACAGAATTTCTATGTTTATTACTGATTCATGATAAAGAGAGATATTTTCAAATTTAGTGTTTTTCTTTTACATAAACTCAAGTTATTTTTTAAATTGTTATTATTTTATCAAAATATCAAAAATACAAAAAAGATTTAAATTTTAATTACTACGAATAAATCTCTAGTTTAAATAATTTTCTTTTTAAAATAGAAAGTTTTCTGTTCAATAGAGCATATTGCATCATTTCTCTGTGGGTTCGATATTCAGGTCTTAATCAAAAAGTCAAAAATACAAAAAAGATTTAAATTTTAATTACTGCGAATAAATCTCTAGTTTAAGTAATTTTCTTTTTAAAATAGAAAGTTTTCTGTTCAATAGAGCATATTACATCATTTCTCTGTGGGTTCGATATTCAGGTCTTAATAAAAAAGTCTTATATTACTTGATAACGATACGTACACTTGCGTAGTATCCCATAATATAAATTAAAGAGTTAAATTCTTATTTTCTTCAGGACAAGTTCTAACTCTGTTGCAAAGTAACAAAATATAACTGAAAATATAATCAGAAACATTGTTATACTGTTGCATATAAGTAGTTATCGGGGATTAGTGCCCCGAACTCACTCTCTACCACATTCAACGCATCTCTTTTTGCAAGATATACTTTCTCAAGGTCACTTGCAATATAATTTCACATCAATTCCCAATAGAATGTTGTAAGAAAAGAAGCCCCTGAATCCAATATCTAGTTATCAACATAACTATGCACTGCCAGCAGTAGTGCATTTTGTATTCCTTCAGTACCACATTTACACTATCATTTTTCATCTTCTTGGGATTTCTGCAGTTCCTATTTATGTGGCTAGCCTTGCCACAATTTCAGCAGGTTGTCCGCTGACCAAATTTTGATTTTTATCTCCCTCTATTTGAGTTCTTGTTATGTGATCTCCCTTTGAAATCAACATTCAGTGTCGAACTCAAACATAAGATCTCGTCAAAATCTTTCCTGCGCACCTTCTCAGTCAAAATCTAATCACGAATATCATCATATTTCAGTTTAGATTTACCTGCAGGTGTTGAGCAATAAAATCAAAATCAATTTCAACTGATGACAATTGATTTGTGATAGTATTGATATCATTCAGGTGTTGAGCAACTGAAACACCTTCTGTCATCTTCAAATTAAATAATTGGTTCATCAAGTACACCTTGTTATTCGCCGATGACTTTTCATACATATCTGATAAGACTTCCATGAGATCTGCAGCCGTCTTTTCCTTGACGACGTTGTGTGCAACGGACTTCGATTGGGTCAATCGAATAACCCCCAGAATTTGTCGATCCAACAGATTCCATTCAGTCTCATCCATCATTTCAGATCTTTTCTCCAACAACGGAAGATGAAGTTTCTTCCCATAGAGATAATCCTCTATCTGCATTTTTCAATAACCAAAATCTATATCATCAAACTTCTCGATCCCTAAAACCTTCACTTCATCTGCAGTCATCGTCTTTTCATAAATCTGAAACCAAGGATCCCTTATACCATTTGTTGTGGTATATATATATAGAAAAAATAGAAGAACAATCTTTGATGAAGCGAAAAAATAGAACGAGAAAATTCATACCAGAAAATAATAACACAGCGGAACACACAGATTTGCACGGTTTGGCAAATTGTCTACGTCCACGAAGTTGCAGAGAATTTTACGCAGAGGGAGTTGCAGAGAATTTTACTACTTGAAGAATTTACACCAGTCGATCGTCTCGACTTACGAGAGGGATCTCTCACTTCCTTGCTCTCTTTTCTTCTCTCTCTGCATCGAGATACACCTAAGAAGATAGACTTACAAGAAAAATAAACTCAATTTCTCTTCTGTCACAAACCACCAAGAAGAATAAGTCAGGGGAGAACAATCTTCTTCTTCTTTCTTCTTACTTCTACTACAAGGAACCACTGTTTTCCTTCTATTCTTTTATCCCGTAGAAGCTTTCTCATCTTTAGCAGTTGATCACACCGAAGGGGAGGAGAGGAGGCTAATATTCGCAACATAAAAAAGAGCGGGGCGGCGTCGATTCGCGAAACGACAGAAAAGGTGGGAACAGTTCGCGACAAAGAGAAGCGGGCGGTTCGTGAACAACAAGGTTGCGACCTTTCACGATCGGGAACACGGAGCGGGAGCGGGAGCGGGAGCGGGATCGTGATGTTTCGCGATCAGGAGTGGGAACTGGCGAACGGGAGCAGGGTATAGGTCTCCACATTTACAAGGATATTACTTATGTCACGATGGTATTACGAAGAAAAAATCTTCGCTCCAATCACCTCAACTTGTTGCTTTTTCAGTTTTAAAAAGATTCTATTTGAGTGATATCATAGATTATGTCATCCATTAATTTCAATTCTTAAACATATTATTTCACAATTCAAATTAGATTTATACCTCATTATTATCACCTCTTCATTGCAATATATGTTAATCAAATAAAAATCACAAACTTTCATTTTCTACATTTACTATTATCTTTTAAACTATTTAAAATACTAGTCCCAAATGCATGGATCTAATCCATAAAATACTACAATGTTTGAGATACTATATCATTTAGTCAACCACTAAATCAAATACATTTGGTATTATCCACATAAGAAAGGATTTTATGTTTACATCTTTATTAGCTTTAAAGTCTTAGTAAAAAGACTTTGATCATAAAATCCTCGCATTATACTTCGACAACTAAAGAGTATCAAATTCTTCACATAAAAAAACATAGAAAATGCTATCAATGTATTATCAAAATTGATCTTTTCTTTATGGTCTCATGCATTCATTTCACTTTTCGAATGGAGTCATCGTTTCGTCGTGACAAACTACCTAATAAACCATTTGCCCAACCCCACACTCTGTGTCTCTTCACCATATGATCAACTCTTTGGTTCACCCCCTAATTATTCCAACTTGTGTGTTTGATTTCCTTGGTCACCAATGGCTTTGCCCTTACACCATCAATAATCTTAAATCTTGCAACAAATCATATCTTTTTCAGCTACTCTTACTTGAAATACACATATTTGTTTCAACACCATCACATCCAACATATATGTATCCATTATGTACACTTTATTGAGTCTATCATTCACTTTACGTATCTTTCCATATCTTATATCACCTATAAAGAAAAATCTCATCTAGGTGTCCTACTGCCCTCCTCGTATCTTTTGTACTTCCTGCAAGATCTTTTTAACACATCATTCACAACATTTCCCTGTATATAATACATCTTCACACCAGCCAAAACATGTTAAGAACTCCTCAATTCCCACCATAGCCAACTCGAGACCCTCTTCCAAAACATTAACAGTACCCAACTCCTATCCTAACAATATTTATCAAATGACCCATACATATAAAATTAAATAAAAAACCCGAAAAAAAAAAAAAAAAAAAAAAAAAAAGAAATCATTAACCAATTCAAAAACTCACTCTCACAATCAACTAAACCAATCACTTGACCTTAAACCTACAACCATAACCTGAACACTATAACACATAAATTACATCCACTAAAAGAATATTTGATGCATCTGATTTTTGTGAATCAAACTTAAATATATCAACACTATTAATAGGTTCAAAGTTCAGCTTGTGGATAGAGGTTTTATAAACGACCAACAATTAACTATCATAACATATTTAGACAAGTTGTTTAGCTTGCCACCATATGGCTAGTTCTTAGTAGATCAGTCCACCAACGAACCTCTCTTCGTCAATTACCTGTGAATAATGCCATTCTTTAAGCCTCTTTCTGAGGATGCCTTCGTGGTTCAAACCCCATGCTTCATCGGCAAAAACTATCATAAAAAAATTTGTAAGCTTCGTCAATCCATTTATAAAGTCAAGCAAGCATCATGTGGGGACTATAAACTAGCTCACCAATCGATGATACTCCTGTGACCGTGCCTCCTGCCATAACCAGCATTCTCTTTTACTCTGGCTTTATCCTCACAAATCCAAATAATTATAGAGATATTATGAGAAGTCTACAATGCTTAGCTCGTATGCTCTCAAATATAGCCCTCACGATTAATAAATTGTCTTAGTTTTTGCATGCACCACCCGACTACTGATTATTAGAAAGCAGCAAAGCAGCTCCTGCTCTTTCTATGGAACTTTCAATCATGGCCTTCTGCTTTATTATGACTCAACATTTCAACTTCATGCATGCAGCAATGCCAATTGGGTTGATGACAGGAATGAATTCACCTCCATTAACAACAACATCATGTATCTTGGCCGAAAACCCATCTCTCGGAGTGCCAATAAACAAAGTACCGCAGTCTTCTTCCCCACTGATATTAAATATCTCTCTGTTGCCACCACCGTTATTGATCTCCGTGTGGTTTACTCCCTACTCACAATACTCGGCATCCACTTTAGTCCTCACTGGTTTATTTTAACAATGTAAGCGCGACTCATCTTTGTATAAAATCCAATCTTTTACTCATGAATGAAATGTATGGCTATTGATTATCATTTTATTTAGGAACAAGTCCAAAATGGCGCCCTTCTTAGAAAACATATATTGATTGAGGATCAACAAGTGAATGCTATCACAAAACCACTTTCTCACACCCACTTCCCTATATTGAGTAACAAGATTAAACTGTTCCACTAGAGCTCCATCTTGAAGGGCCTTACTAAGCATAAATGCATTTTGTTAGTTTTCTTGTTTCTAAGCATTCTTCTTCAATTATTTGATATGCATTTAATTAACTTGGCATGATTGTTTTAACATATTTAAATCGAATACTATATGTTATCATATCTTCTGGGGATATAATGAAGAGATAGCTAGCCATTGTTCAAAACACTACTACCACAATGCCAGCATGTCAATGCACTAAAAAACTCTGGATTTGCGATGAGTTACTGAATAACTTCTTTTACCAAATCTATCCCACTTTTACCTCCACTATACATGTACCGCAGCTTCCACCTCCACCACAGTTCATAATTTTTCCCTGCAAAGAAAGCTGTTATATCGGCAAGTGAAACAGAGTATCAAATCCCATAACAAAATCGATCAAAGCACAGTTACTACTTCCAAACTCCATGAGCATTGAAAAATAAGAACTCAGCGTAAATCTTACGTATGCTGCGTAGAGTTCGATCTTGTTATCAATCATAATGTTTCGGAGAAGCTTCTCCCCGCTAATCGCGCTTGCCCTATCCACCGGATAAGACCCATCCGCTCCCACCTTCGGCTGCAAATCCATGCGAGTTTCAAAAAATTGATCAGAGAAAAGCGAATGCAGGATCAAGATCTTGAGATGAGATCCCACCTTCTTACCCCGATGAACTCGACCTCTATACAGGGTTTCTCTAACTCCGGCGAGCGATTCAGGGTTGCGAAAGTGCAGAACGGGCTCTTTCTGCTTCTCAGAAACCTCGTTCTGCTAGGTGTAATGGAAGAGAGATAAAGGGATTGGGAGGAGAAGCGAGCTGAGGGGTTCGGTGAGATGGAGGAAGCGAGGAGAGTGACTGCCGCCATTTTTTCTCACCACGGAAGAAAAATTAAGAGTTGTCTAGTTAGTGCTCTAAAGAAAGCTCATTGTTCGTGAAAAGCTTTTACTCGGTTCGTTAGCTAGTGTTACAACTCTTCATATTTGACTCATTTTAGTTGAAATAAAAAAAATTATATATAATTATTTATATAACAATATATTATGTATATTATTTATATCTAAATTTAAATTATACAACCTCATCTGGTAATGTGGTTTTTCATCTTCTTTTACTTAGGTTTGACACAGGTTTGAATCCAACAATCTATATCTATTTTTCTAATTAATTTTAAAAGTCAATTTTAAGTCAAACACAAACACACTGTTCATGAGCCAATTTCAAACATGAATAATTTCTAACGAGCTCAACTCGAGCTAGCTCAAGCTCGGCTCACTTAGAGCCCTATGTTTAGTGGCACACTTTTAATAGGATTTAGTCATTAATTTCAACTAAATCAAGTCAAATATCAAAATGAGGAAAAATTAAATTCAAATCTCTTAAATTCAATTTTCTCCTATTTCGTCTCCTCTGCAACTAAAATCTGGATTTATCAAATCCAACTACGAGTCTTATTACATTGATTTATCGTTTCTCGTGTGCTCTATCTTTGTCACGAACAGGCAAGGTTTCACGGATTTGATAAAATCCAATTAACTTAAATCTACGTCTGCAGCCAAACGACACCTAAGCTTCGAGAGGATATGTGCGAATAAATGTGAATTTGATAATACTGATCTTTATGTATGTTATCCACACGTAATATTTTTTTCATCATCAATAGTCTCACAAAGAAATATTATGTGTGAAATCCACATGCAGGTTTAATGGGGAATTCACATGTAGACTTGATTGTATTATAGTAATATTCTGGCCTATTCGCACATAGCTGTGGCCATGACTGCTAAGCTCAATATTAGAGTCTTAGACCCGACTAAAAAGAAAGTTACACTTACACATAAGTGTCGGTTTATATTTTTTGTATAAATTTAATACTTTTATTATTCATATCTAATGTGTGCTACAATAAAAAAAATGGGAAAATTACATACTTGGCATACAATTCCCATGTATTTGCATATCTCACACCTAAATTTTCAAATTTAAATACATCGGTACATAGCATTTTATAAAGATTTGAGATTTTTGTGTAAATATGAAATTTTAGGTGTGAGAAATGTAAATACATGAGAATTGTGTGTTAAAAAATATATATATATATATATATATATATATTTGATAAACATAATAAATTTGAGTTTTTTTTTTTATGAATATTAATATTTGAGAGAGGATTTAAAAAAAAAATTTAAGGGAGTTAATTTTGTAAATATAAAATTTGAAAAAAATAATAATTTTAAGATTTATTTAATTTAAAAATAATAATTTTAAAATTTATTTTTTATAAAAAAATTAATAAAAGAAAAAAAAGCTATAAATTTTGAGTCATACTTATTTAATATTCATTATTTATTTATTTTGATTATATATATAAAAAGAAATATTTTTGATGTTCGAAGATAAAAAAATATTTTGAAATTTGTTACATTTATTTTATATTTTATTCTTTGATTAAATGTAAATAGAAATTAAATGACTTTTAATTACAAATATCAAATTTCATTTTAATTTTCTATCTCATTAATGAATAGAAATACTTTTTAATTTAAATGCCTGAAATCGAAAATTTGATATTTACATTTATACCCTTTGGTAAGCGATCAAATGTATAAATACATAAAATATGGGTTTGCATGTAAATTAGTAGGGCTTTGCCAAATGTCCGCACAAAAGCAAAAGAATGGTTAATATTTAAATTTTTAGTTATAATCATATATTTTTAAAATATCACAATAAAACATTAGCTATTATAAAATTATCTTAGGTCTACAAATATTTGTTGGAGAATTTACATGCATGCCACTCAATTTTTATGTATTTAATATTTTATATCTAAACATCCATTTTTACACATATGGTACTTATTTATGCATGAAATTATGTATTTTATTTAGAAAAATGTTTAAATTGTGGTATTTTAAAAGGTGTGCATTGAAAATGAGACGGTGTTGATCCTGAGTGGATCTAACGGTCTAGAGGAAAATAGTATGACGAAAGCTGATTGAAGACCATGAGACCCACTTATCCTCCGATCAGATGCAGTTGTTTGAGCCACGGATAAAAGTTGACTAGATGCTGCCAACTGAGCAAAAGGCAATAAAGTCAAAGTCGACCAAGTCACAAAAGAAGACCAAATGATCCGATTTCGAGCCATTCAGACTGAAACGATATAAATAGACAGCTGAGCCGACCACTAGAAGAAAGTCAACCCAATATAACTGTCTAACTTTTGGTAGACCTTATACGACGAAAGATCAAGTTTCTCAATATCACCAACCATCCAACGGGCGCACTGAGGCTTCTCGTGAGGGATTAAGAATTAAAAATGCAAGGGTCTTCTTGTTGAGGCCAGAGGTTAGATATGTTGGAGTTGTTGACCACAGTGACAGGAGATAGGAGCTACATGAGTTGTGATAATGTTCATGGGTCAAAGAGGCAAGAGGTTAAATATGTTGGAACTGCCGACCAAAAGGCTATAGTCGGTCGCATAATCCATAGTGGTGAGCTGCAATGCAAGAGCTCGGGAGTCCAGAGAAAGTCAGTGTATCATGCGTACGAAAGTTATAAGCAGTTATTATGGGGTGTGTTGATACGTCATCTTCGGAATACATTGTTGTATCATATATGTCGTTCGACATTGCATTGTATTCAAGATGTGTCGTACACTGTCTTTGAGGTACATTGTAACACTGTCTTCTGGTGCATTATAATATTTTCTTTGGGTGCCTCATTGCACCATACGTAGGGTGCATCATTACACCGTATTCGGAATGCGTCGTTGCGCCATATGTAGGGTATATCATTACACAATCTTTAAAGTGCATTGTTTCGTTACTCCGTAACATTGGTCGTCGTTCAATAAAGTGCTTCGTTAATCTGAAGCGTACGCCAAGATTCCAAACCATACATTGTGATTGCACGAGGGGTTTCGTTGGAACAACAACTAGGTAGCAGTAGTTGACCATGGTCAGCGGCGCTAGGAACCGGTAGTGTTTGCCAAATCTTCGATCTAGAATACAGGACTCTAGCACCTTCCCCAAGCTTGGATCATCCTCTTGTTCTCTGTCCAGATCTCCTTTCAAGAAGGAGGTAGGGCTCTATTTATAGGGACTGTGAGATGCTTCCTTGTAAATAAGAAAGTAATTTAAAGCACTCTATTGAACTGTCCGGGGAGATTCTCTTAATCGAATTGTAATAAGAATTGTTGTACATACGTAAATTTCCATACTTGCTTACTAGACTTTCAAAATTCTATTGGAACCATGTGGTGACATATGAGTATTTAGGCTTGAGTTTTCTTTAAATAGCGAACTATTTGTCAAATTCGGTTGTATTATAGCCATCAGACAAGCATAATCAAGCAATACTTGCCAACATTAGTTGTATTGTATGTGGTTTGCAGCCTGCAAATATTGCAATAAAATCTTAAATTGGGCATTTACATACATACCACACAATTGTTATGTGTTTACATAACTACCATCTAAACTTTCATATTTACATCCATGCCAATTCAATCTCTAATTTCATAGCAAAAATATCACTATTTGCATCTGTTTATGACATCAAGGAATTATAAACATAAATATGAAAATTCTGGTGTAAGATATTTAAATACATAAATATTATGTGGTTGTATGTAAATTTCACTTAATTTTGGGTATTTACATAAATATTTTTTATATTACAAAATTTGTTTTATATTTAGTTATTCTTTTTACAGGGCACAGCTTTCTTGCTTCAAACCATAGGAGAGAAATATATAGGCATTAATTTTGAATGTTTTGTCCTTTTATAATAAGATTTCATTTTCCACTATATTTATTATAGCTGGAAATCACCATTTGCTTGAATGATTCAATTTTTTTTTAATTTAATTAATTATGTCAATAGTATTTTTTGTTCTTTTGCCATTTGAAAAAGGGGTATTTACATCCACACCATATGATTCTTTTGTATTTATATATCAGACATATAAACTTTCATATTTACATATATAACTTTTACATCTCTAGCATCACATCTAAAATATCATTATTCGATCGATTGGCAGCTCGCATCAAAATACCGACACACACTTCCAATCCAAGTATTATTCGGCATCCTCAAAGGGAATGTATGCTTCACAGACCTCAGAAAACCTTAATCCATCGACAATGGAGTTAAATACCCCATTCTTTATCCCACCTTCACTCAAATTTATAATTAGTACTTAAACACCTTACACAAAATTCTCTCTCTGTTTAAAAAATTTTTATATAGAAGGCTCGAGTTCAGGAGGTGTTCACCACAAATGGGTAACTAGGGTTTCTTGATGGGGGTTCCCCTTCCGTGCCGCAATTTTCCAAACAATGTCTGACCTATAGGTTTGCAATCCACAATATATTTAATGGATTTTAGTAGATCAAAATCTTCCCGAAGCACTCTACTATATCATCTCTACACCAATCTTTCACTATGTGTTGCATCTCTCCATTACTGTCGAGATATGGCATATTATTGCATCCAACAACTGCTCAGGACTCATCCGACTAAAGAACGCACTCCATACTCTCTTAATGAACAATCAGACAATGACACAATACTTATCAAGTGTCAAAGTTCTCGTCGATTACATGGTCACTGCTGGAGGAAAAGTTGATACTGAGGATATAATTCTCTATATACTCAATGGACTCTCGGCTACCTACCAAGGTTTTAATACAACAATCCTAAATCAACTACAGCCCATCGACCTCGTTGACTTCTACTATCTTCTATGTAATAAAAAGATCAATATTATAAGTGACAATCTGAAACTCGACTCCTCCTCTAATCCTTACCTTGCACTTACAACAACAAGAGGCCAGTCGTCATTATCATGCTCACGATCGAGGTCGATCTCCAAAACCAAAACCACACCAAAGGGGGTCGAAACACACCAGACAAATTAGTCA